TTCCAGCAGGATAATGCACCATGTCACAAAGCTCGAATCATTTCAATGAGTTCACTGTACTAAAATGGCCCCACAGTCACCAGATCTCAACCCAATAGAGCATCTTTGGGATGTGGTGGAACGTATGTGCATCCCACAAATCTCCATCAACTGCAAGATGCGATCCTATCAATATGAGCCAACATTTCTAAAGAATGCTTTCAGCACCTTGTTGAATCAATGCCACGTATTCTACGTTCAGTTCAGAAGGCAGTTCTGAAGGCGAAAGGGGGTCAAAAACCCCCTTTTAGTATGGTGTATTAGTATGGTGTTCCTTTAGATGGTGAGTGTATATATATATATACTGTATATAGATAGATAGTTCTCTCTCTCTCTGTTTCTCTCTTTGCTCTGATTATCTCCCTCTTTCACCCATGTCACTTTCTTCAGAGAACACAGAGAAAAGAGGAGAGAGGGAGAGCCCGTCTGCCAAGGTTTGGGCAAAGGCCTCCACAGCATGTAATTTAGGCTTCTAGTTTTCATCCTATTACCACGGTGGAAGTAACCCTACAGAAGAAAACAGCCTCCTCTTGAAAGACGACAGAACCCGTTACCACAGCAACCAACAGGCACTCTACAGTATTTAGAGCCAATAAATACAGAGATAATAGAGGTAAAAGTGTATAAATGATGATGTAATATATCATAAACACATTACAGAGATTAAAGGCTGTCCACTTGTGGCTAACCTGAGCTGGAACATCAACGCTTTTTAGAGCCAATCAAAAATAATGTCACTGGTAAAACATCTACTGTAGCCTACTATTAAACAAACACTAGTGAGATGATTTGATGTTGGCTTAATTCACAAAGCATGGTCTGAAAGAATCGTTTTAAAAGCTTGATATTTGAAGCTTGTACTGTCAGATAGACAGAAAGTAAGTGAGATGAATTAAGGAAAACAAAATTAAATCCAACAATTAATTCCAACAAACCATATAAAAACCAGTTCTGTCTCTAAAATCTGTTTGAGACCCAATTAGACCTCATAAGATCACTAAGACACCACATCAGACCACCCATTATGAAAATTAACCATGGTTTTATTATGGTAAAAGTGAAGTAACCATGTTTTTTTGGCGGATTGAATATAATTTGTATACCGTAACCACAGTTTCACTACAAATACCATGGTTAATTTTTGGTTACCATGGTTTAACAATATTAACCATGTTTTAATTTTATTTTATTTGTAGTAAACCTGTGGTTAAATTACATGTGTCTAGGCATTGCCAGATGTAGCTAACATGTTTTATTGTTGTTAACCTGTTTCTAGCATTCTTTATCATTTTCTAGCACAATGCATGTTTTTTAGTCATCCCTGGTAGGCTACAATGCTAGCATGTTTACACACAGCTAGCATATTGCTAGCATTCCACAGTAGGACATACATTACAGTATTTTATACCTCAGAAAATAACAGTGAATTTATAATGGTTACTTTTCTGAAATGAGACATCCTCAATGATGTATGTCGCCGACAAATGCGACCTCAGAAGGACACAGCTTTCAAAATGAGACCGAGCTATTGCTAGCATATTGCTAGTGTGTTGCTAGCATAATTTAGCGCATTGCTTGGACGTTGCTAGCATGTTTCTAACGTATTTTTGCATGTGTATAGCATTCCGAGTCAGATCATCCTGAAGGTCAGTGCCGAGTTTGGATGAGCTCTAGGACGAAATAATTTGAAATTTAATACGGCTGAATAGATAGGCTAAGCTTTGTCAAGCCAACATAATTATTCACAATATATATGTTACTTTCAATAAAGAAAGATACATTTGCTTCAGAGATGTGATGAGCTAGATTTGCACAATGGGTGACATTTATAGTGCAGACGTTATGTCATGTGTGAGTGTGTGACAGAGAAATTGTGAATATGAGCAGACAGCTGTGGGCCAGCATTAGCTAAAAACCTAATAAACACTAGCCGGTTCCTCTTGAAGTTTTTTTAAGGCACAAAATGGTGCAGCTGAGAAATATAGGTCAACATAGTGGACAAAACTGCCAGTGTGGTCAGACACAAACACAAGCATCCAAGTCGGCATTTCAACATCTGTTCATGGGTGAATCAAATGGGCTTTGCAAATTGAATCAATGGTTGATGTATCGCAGCATTGGGTTGGTGGGGGCTTTCCATCCAATAACTTCACAATAATCTTTCTGTATTTTTAGATTTCCTCTAAGATTTCCTCTACAATTTTTGTAGAAAAACTTTTTACAGCTGTTTGGTCTGCACAATAGTTGGAATCATTTGTTTTGATGACCACAACTGGAATCGTATACTCACTCAAAACAAAATAAAAGTCTAATAAATTAATGCTACCTCTGCTGGTTATATTATAACTTGGAAGAAACTTAACAAATGACAACTCATTTTGTAGAGCTTCAGCAAATAAGTGACTGTGGGAACATGCACAAATCTCCATCAACTGCAAGATGCGATCCTATCAATATGGGCCAACATTTCTAAAGAATGCTTTCAGCACCTTGTTGAATCAATGCCACGTAGAATAAATGCGAAAGGGGTATGGTGTTCCTAATAATCCTTTAAGTGAGTGTATATATATATATATATATATATATATATATATATATATATATATATATATATATATATATAAATGAAAGCAACATACAAAATGACTAGTTCAAATGTCAAAATATGTCATTCAGAATTTATTAATGATTTTAAAACAATTCCAAATACCAATTTCATATTCTAATTGAAGTTCAGATCTCAAAAATCTAATTAGAAATGTTAAAAAGTTCATTCAGACTTCAAAACTCAAAATCAAAAAGGCATAAGTGATGCCAATCAACAGCAACAATTTTGAGCACCGAAACATAATAAAGGTCTAAACATTACAGCTGTTCTGGTTTCACAGGTTGGAAGGATTCATTTATTCAGAAGTAAATCAGCAAATATTTAGGTACAAAAGCTGTCACTGGGGCGGTACCTTTTCAAATGGTACACTTTTGTACCTAAAGGGTGCATTTTTGGTACCTTAATGGTACAAATTAGCACCTAAAATATACCATTAAGGTACCAATATGCACCCTTTAGGTACAAAAGTGTACCATTTGAAAATGTACCGCCCCAGTGACAGCTTTTGTACCTTTTTTTTTCTGAGAGTGAAGCAAAGACAAACAGAAGCTGCAAACAACCTTGAGCTACAGTTCCCATCTTTCTCCCAATACCACTGATTCACACAGACACACACACAGAGAGAGCTCCTCCTACCGATTTTCTGTATGTTAACAGTGAGTCGTCTGATGAGCTCCTCCAGAGAGTCCTTTCCCATATTCACCCATAGGATCATAATGAGCAGGACACAGAGAATCAGGAGCAGCGGAGGCACGCAGCACTGCTGCTCAGGAAGAAGGATACTGAAAAGGGCAGAGAGGAAGCCGTCTCGCTGCTTAAACCAGCCCTGCTGCAAGAGATGAGAGAGAGAGAGAGAGAGAGAGAGAGAGAGAGAGAGAGAGACTGACACACATAGATACACTCACGCTCTGCATCAGCTATGCAGAGTCAAAACACACACACACACACACACACAGGTAAGCGAACATGGGTGATTTTAAGGTCACTACATGATTCTATGGTGGCAGCAATGCATGCTTAGACTGTGAACATGCATGTGCTCATAAAAAATTATGCATAACTGTGTGTGTGATATGTCATATTCATTTCTTATCCTCTCTAACAGCTAGAACAGAGTCTGAAATAACACATCACATCTGATAGTCCTGCTGACACCTGAGGGAAGTGCTTTATAAATCATCATTAAGGTCATGAAAGGACATTTGGGTCTATTCTGGGTTAATTCAGTTATTTTTGATTCTGGTATGTTGTGAGCATATTTTCATGAATATTAAATGGCTCACATTCTTTCCTATTGTTCAAAGCAAATACCTGCACAAATGTAGCGCAAAGAGCCATGGATGAGTTTAGTGCTGCTGCATTACAGTATCACATCGGAGGTCTACCTCGATAGAGCCCAGATATTATCTGTAGTTTTGGAACATGGCGACATCGCCATCTTGTGCTCGAGAAGCAGAATTACAGGATGCCTGACGTTGGCGTTTCCGTGGAGAGGGTCAAACTAACTACGATAGATTCGCCGCTTATGGAAATCGTTTAATCTCACTTACTTGTAGATTAGTCTTACGCTAAGTTAACAAAAATAGGCCTGTAACATTTGTAATAATTTCTAACGCCAAAGGTGCTTACTCCTTGTTTATTTGTGGGAACCTGAGGAGGAAAGATAGCGCATGAGGCAAGATAAGCTGTTATATCTTTTATTTTACTTTATTTGTATATTTGGAAATGTATTTGGTATTAATTTATCCTTGCACTCAATGGACTGAAAACTAGTTAACCATATATTGCCCTAAAGTGTATTCATTCCGTAGGGGCTGTCATTGTAGTTTTGGCTATGTGACGTCAGAACTCGTAACTGGGAGTACATCGGTCTAGTACGAGTTCACGGGTGGGAAGTCACGTTACTGCCGTTGCCTGGAACGCGGCATAATACACTAAAATGGCGAAATATGCAAATTAGCACTGTTCGCCACCTCAGAAATTTTCAGATGGTTAGTTGAAAATTGTATGTAGCTGTTCTAGTCATTGATCAGCATATTCTGTCATCGCATTCCAGGGGCGGGGTTAATGTAAATTTTGGGTTAGTGATGTCTCTAACCCATGAAGCTTATTGTAGTCCCTACCAATGTTGTAGTCCTTAAAAAGCAAATTATGTAAAAGAAAATATCGCCCATTGCTTTGAACTTTGCAAATGTTGTCACAAAGACATAATAAGTGTTTTAGGGTATAGTTAAATATCTTCAATATTACTTTCAAGTCTTAAAAATGATTAAAGTCAAAAAATATCTTGCTTACATGTTTTCATAATGAACCAACTTTTTTGGCACTGGAAAGCAACATTTTTTAATATAAAAAAAGGTTTATTAGTTCAAGAAAAGAATGACAGGATGTTTGTTCATTTTGAGTTCTGCTTAGTACACGTACTATACAGTGCAGAAAGAGTTTGAAACCCTTTAATGGACAATCATTTGACTCACCTTCACCCTCGATTCCCAGTGACGCATTAAAATGCAGATAAAAACAGTTCCAGTGACACCTCAGCATCTTTTCCACTGAATGCACAGACAAAATTAATTCGTCAGTCCATTTTCATCTTCACCGTGTAAGAGGGCACTACGGGGGAGGGAGGGCGAGAGCGATTTTCCCCAACGTTACCAAGCCACTTCCATCAATACATTTCATGAACATGGGAGAGACAAGGAAAAACACTACAACAGTAATCTATTATCTTGCCCATAATGATCCGAAACTTCAGAATAGTAACTTTGTCCTCACAGGATCAACCTGAGGCTTAAGATCACACAGCATTGTGGGTAATTGATTTTACATGTCTGAAATGAGGCGAGGATCTTATAGAGGTAAGTGCATGTAATTTAACAGGTCCATTCATAAATTAAAGAACTGGTTGACATTTAAGGTTGCTATATTTTTTGTTGTTGTTTTTTTTACACCCAGTACAAAGGTCACAGCCTGCATAATTACAAACTTAACAACAAAAATATATATAATAATGAAAATGGACCAGGTGTGTCTATTTTCTTGACTTCTGGAGACTTTGAAGTGAAAAAAAAGGGGGTACTATAAGAAAACCAAGACAAAAAATATCTCAATGGACTTAAATATTAGCAAAAACATGAACAAATCTTTACAAAAACAAAACAAAATACTAGTATTCACACATTAACTGACAGACCTGCGACCTTGTGCTACTGACAGACTGTAAAACCACTAGACAGTCGATTGTGTGTGACTGAAATCATTTGGCCATGACACTGAAATAGGTTATTCTATAAACAATTTCCCTGTTAAATGAGTTTCTTACAGAGCGCCAGAAGAGTTCTGAGTAGCCCTATTAATAAACCGTCTCTTGAGACAGCAACCAAATAACACGAACGTTTCCCAAAGTCTGCAAGGTCAGATGTTGGAGCTTCGTCTCCCTCTTGTGGCCCCAAGCGAAGGCCTCAGGCGTGGGTCACGGGCCTTATAATGTTCGTTGAAGTCCAGACGGAAACTGAGGAACTGAAGACTCTCATCAGAGCAGGTCATTAGCAGCCGCAGAAACTCCTGCACGATGCCCTGAAGGACAACAGAAAGAAAGGATCTGTTATATCCACGGCTGGAGCTTCAGACACTTTATTTGTATTTAAATCAAATGTCATGTGACGTGATAGTGGTCATTTCTATCTCTTGGTATCGTACCAGCCTCTAAAAGGAGTAGTTCAACTTTTGCTGATAAGTTACTCACCCCCATTTCATCCAAGATGTCCATGTCTTTCTTTCTTCAGTCGAAAAGAAATTAAGGTTTTTGATGAAAACATTCCAGGATTTTTCTCCATACAATGGACTTCAATGGGAACCAAATGGTTCAAGGTCCAAAAGACAGTTTCAGTGCAAACTGCAAACTGTTCAAAGAGCTTTAAACGATTCCAGACGATGAATAAGGGTCTTATCAAGCTAAACGGTCGATCATAAAAAAAAAAAAAGGTCAAGTTTTATAAGCACAAATGCTCGCCTTGCTCTGTGTGATGCGCGTTTGTGACTCTCCAATTCAAACTCGTTCATCAAAATGAACAAATCTTTTCCCGAGTCAACTCGTTCATTTCATTCGTTGAATGAACCAATTGACAAGAAAAAAGATTCGTTCATTTTGATAAACGAGTTCGAACAGGAGTCACACAGAGGGCGAGGCGAGCATTTGAGCTTATAAAACTTAAACTTCCGTTTTTTTTTTTTTTTTTAATGAGCGATCGTTTCGCTTGATAAGACCCTTATTCATCGTCTGGAATCATTCAAAGCCCTTTGAACAGTTTGCACTGAAACTGTCTTTTGGACCTTGAACCGTTTGGTTCCCATTGAAGTCCATTATATGGAGAAAAATCCTGGAATGTTTATCAAAAAACCTTAATTTCTTTCCGACTTAAGAATGACATGGATATCTTGGATGACATGGGGGTGAGTAAATTATCCGCAAAAGTTTAAAAAAAAAAGTGAACTAAGGACAACGAATGAAATGTAACTAAGCTAATAATGTTACAGCATATATATATATATATATATGAATTATCCTTGAACGAATAAATAATTTAAATTAATTTCATTGAATTTCATATGTCTAGTATTTCCACAAGATTACAATGAAAACATTATTTATATTACAAAAATATTTCAATAGCTCTAAAGCAAATATATTTTCGAGAATAAAGAGTCAACCAGAATATGGGCTTCAATCAGAAAATCATGTTCATATTAAAATGATCAATGTCCACAGCATAAAATGTGTCCATTTAGTGTTTGAGCATTGCATATGTAGTGTGGATCAGCATAAAATGCTCTACTAAACACCATTAAGCAGATTCTCGCTCGCTCACACCTGCTGGTTCAACACTTTTTCCACGCATGCATGAAATGATATGGGTTTATTGGGCGAGCGCATTAAAGTGTATGAAAGGCTGTGTGGAGTACCTGATAGAAGTGTGTGAGTAATCTGAGCTGAGAGCACATTTTTGGTATGGTGTCTTTAAACTCCTGCACACGTCTGTTCTCCTCTGCCTCCTGCTCTGCCGTTACACCCCACTCGCCCTGAAATACACAGAAACAGAGCTAGAAACAAACACTCTGGCACTCTTTTTAATTTTGTTTACTTTCATAGTAATTTAGCTGACATCAGAAGAGAAAGAAGAAAATAATCAATGGCAATAGAAAATAAACAGCGTCCCTGTAAAAGGAGCATCCACTCTGCTTTTGACCAACACATTTGCTAATGGCCACTTTCCATTAAATGAGTCAATGAAAAGAGTGGATTATAATTCTTGTTTTCAGTGCTGGACACTCTGAACATGAGACCATTAGGAATGCTCTGGCCTATAAGAAGCCTTGCTTTTTTACAATATATAGTTATAGCAATGGTCACCTTTGTTTTTGAGCATTTGGGATCTGTAAAAATGTTTAACAATTTATTTGACCAAAAATAAGTAATTTCGAGACAATTTTATTAGATCTAAAAATAACTGATTTCTATTGTGATGCAAAACTGAATTTTCAGCATCATTACTCCAGTCTTCAGTGTCACATGATCCTTCAGAAATCATTCTAATATGATGATTTGCTGCTCAAGAAACATTTATTATTATAAATGTTGAAAACATTTTTTTTTTTTTTTTGTGGAAACCGATACATTTATTCTAGATTCTTTGATTAATAGAAAGCTCAAAAGAAAAGTATTTATCATCAATTTAAGGGGATAGTTCACTTTGAAATTAATTTGTTGGTATGTTTTAGCTTACCTCAAGGGCATCCAAGATGCAGGTGTCTTTGTTTCTGCAGAATTTTCAATTTTGATATTTTTAGGTCAAACTGTTTGTCTATCAGTCATATAATGGAGGTCTATGGTCACCACCTCAAAGAGCATGCACAGAGAAGTCCAAATTAAACATGATTTAATGACTCGTAAATGTAAGTACACATTGATGGCCTAAGACAAGAAACGAGCGGTTTGTGTGAGAAAACAAACAGATTCATATCGTTTTTCCCTCTTGTTACTACAGCCACAAAGCGCCCGCACCCTCAGATCACTTGGACGTGGCTGTGGTTACAAGAGGTAAAAACGATATAAAAACTGTTCGTTTTCTCACACAAACCGCTCGTTTCTTGTCTTAGGCCATCAATGTGTACTTACATTTACCAATCATTAAATCATGTTTAATTTGGACTTCTCTGTGCATGCTCTTTGAGGTGGTGACCATAGACCTCCATTATATGACTAACAGACAAGAACAGTTTGACCTAAAAATATCAAAATTGAAACTACTGTGGAAACAAAGACACCTCCATCTTGGATGCCCTTGAGGTAAGCTAAAACATAACAAAAATTCATTTCAAAGTGAACTATACCTTTAATGTGCCCTTGTTTCTTAAAAGCACAAATTAAAAAAAAAAAATGTCTGCAATTTTTTTTTTTTTTGTATAATTCTCTATACAGTGTGTATTGGTTTACAGTCTTGCACTTACAATAGAAATCTTTGGTGCAAGCCCTTCTAAAGGATTAAAAATAGTAATGTAAAGTTCGTTTAGTTCTTTCATAGATAATGATAATAGATCATGTGGTAAGGCCAGTTTTAATGGCTAGTAAGAAATATTTATGGCTGATAATGTACTCATTTCACCTGACAGAAAGTGTCAAAATGAATTTTGAATTCTGCACACAGCGAAAAGCTTTTTAACTTGCATTTAATTAACTTTAACTTGCATTTAGGTTCACTCTGTACATACCATCTCTACTCTCTGTCTCTTCTTGTCCTCGAATTGGACGCGTAGCTGCAGCTCTTCTAGAGCGGAGCGGTACAGCGTGTCCTGAGCGTTCTGGAACTCAATGATCTGATCAAACACTGCGCGCAACTGATTCAACAGAGACTGCGCACACACATACACACAAAGGACAACAGAGTTAAGGAAATGAGGACATGTACGAGGGATCATCACTGGTACACAATCACCCTGTGTAAGTGCATCGTACCCTGTTGTTCACATCCAGCAGGCAGCGAGAAATGATGGTGTCCAGAAAAACATCATGAGCTGCTATAATGTGATCCAGATCCTGAGCCTGCTGGACCTTATTCCACAACTCATCCCAGGAGCATTCCAATACCTACAGTGAGCCATGCACAATACGATTAAATACACAGCTCGACTGTTTGAAAAAGACAAATATCCACAGGGACGTACCTCAAATGTGATATAATACTGCATCTGATGGATGAAGTGAACCATCTCGGAAGCGAGAACGTGACATTGGTGCAGTACGCCAGAGAGCTCTGCGCAAACACACATCTCAACTGTCTGCTGAGAAAGGTAGATCTCACAAAATTATGTACGTTGGTTCAAAAACTGCACTCACCCGGCATGCTCTTCAGCAGTTTGGCGTTACACATTTGACCCTTCCAGATGTCGGTGAGGATATACTCCATTCTTTTAGCCCTCCACAGGAAGTTGAACACACGCAGGTAGTGGCTCATACACTCACGGGTGAACACCTGACCCAGGTATGACACACATTGTGGTTAAGGATGCACTGTTATGAACAAATCGTGCCCATAATGATAGAACCAATTAAACTAAGTCTGATATTAAAATTCTTAATTAAAATACAAAATTAAAGGTGCAGTCTGTAGTTTTTCCTCTTTGTCGCCATCTCTGTTAGAAATCTGCAATTGCAGTTATTCGCGGAATTATCAACTTTACGTGGGTTGTGCCTCGGCACGGCACAGCGCGGATGAATCCAATGTTTTGAGGAGACTGTGAGGCTGTCAGTACGCCGTTATGTGTACAGATTACCGCGGAAATCTCGATCTACGGCAAGCAGATAGTTTTGAACACTGGATGGTTATGTATTAGCTCAAAAAATTTATTTAGGATAATTTTAACCCCAAAAAGTTACGGATTGCAGCTTTAAAATCAATCATTTTAAATGCTACAAGTGAATTTAGGCATCAAAAGATAACGAGAAATGTATAGGTTACAATTAAAGGGTTAGTTCACCCAAAAATGAACATAGCCCTCACGTCATTCCAAACTCATAAGACTTGGAACACAAATGAAGATCATTTTAATGAAACATCAGATTTCTGTTCCTCCATTGAAATTCTGATGCTTCAAAATGTTCATTAAGACATTGCAAAATAAATCCATATACATAGAGCGATTAAATCCAGATTTCACGGAATATAACCGATTTTAATTTAAGCTTTTATTCACATATAAATATTGATCAACACACATGGAGCACTCAAGCTTAAGCACATTTACTTGACCCGCAAGAACCACTGAAATCCATTCTTGTGTCACACCAGCGCGTTTGAGCTTCTGCAAGAACCAATGAGGCTTGTTAAAGTATAAACAGTCAAGCTTTCGTTTACCATATTTGAGTGCTCAATAGTAGTTTGCTGATCAATGTTTATATTTGAATGAAAGCCTATTAAATCTGCTCATCATATAAAGTGGATTGTGTCTCTTCAGAAGACTCTGATTAAACCACGCAAACCACTATGGATTTATTTTACGATCTCTTTATGAAAGCTTTGAAGCATTTGGGGTGAATACACTTTCAAAGGACACAGAAATCTCTCAGATAAACGTTAATTTAACCCATTTGACAAATGACCATGGTATAAGCAGGATAATCCACGATTAATAATTAAACTGCTGCGCACCAGCGGTTCTTTGCCTCCACACCGTAAATTAAAATAGTTTAATGCACAGCTAGTCGTGGATTTTCCCTAACTTAACGGATGCTGAATCTTATAAATCAATGCTGCAATAAATTAATCACCTTGGTTCACTGAAATTTATTGCCCGATTCTTGAACGGGCCTTGGTCAGGGTCATGAGTCATTACAAGGGAAAAGTAATTAAATTACAGTAACGAATTACTTAGTAATTAGGTACACCCAACACTGCTGTTAACCTATAACTAGTTCGGGTCCTTTTTGGTCTGGAAGAGATATTTAATAGTTTTTAGCCGACACCTCGTAAAGTAAAATGTAAAGTAAGGATTACTCTTCATTTATCTGTAATTTAATTACAGTTACTTCTGATGTAATTGAGGTAAATACTGTGTATAGATCAATCCGATCTCGCTATCTAAATTCTGTCTAAATTGTACGACCGCACTGTACAAATTCGTATGAATTATTGTAAAATATGTATGAAAAGTCATGAGATCAGACATAAAACAATAGTGGGTTTACCATCAAAATGTATTGTCTGATGTTTAAAAGTATGTTTTTTTAATATAACCTTCTCCACCTGGGTCTGTTTAAGGATAATTCATGCAATTTTATAGTATTTATTTGAAAGAATTAAAACAGATTCATGTCTATCCTTGTATTATTCAGCTGGTTGAGATTTTGAAAGTAATTAGTAATTAAAAGTAATGAAATACTTTTTAGAGAGAGTAATTAGTACAGTAATCTAATTACACTGTTCAAGAGGTAATTAGTAACTAGTAATTAATTTTTTAATTTAATTAATTAATTAACTTTTTCAGAGTAACTTAACACTGGTTAACAGTAATTAAAATATTAGTGTTACATTATGTGAGCAGTAGATTATGACAAAATGCATCTAAATGGGCTAAAACAATCTTGCTGGGTTCATACGGTGTTGATGATGTAAATTAAGCCACACATTTACCGTGGCAATGGGCCCCTCTACATGATAATCCAAACTGAAGACGTCCCAACCAGTGTCCCCCGGAGAAACCTAGACAAAACAGGACATCACACCCACATTCAGTGATACACAATCATTTTTGCCATCAGATATTTCTTTATTTTCTTCCCAGTACCTCCAGTAGCCGGACATCAAGCCTCTTTAGTATCTCAGGACTGTCAAACTGGGCATTGGTTGCCCTGACAGCAGTCTCCAGGATACCGGTTAGATTGTGTTGGTAAAGAGTGGTGGCAGCTCTCACCAACTCTGGCCTGAGAGAAAGCGAGAGATGGATGACTCAGAGAATAAACGTCCTTACAAGAGGAGAATCATCGGTTATAAATCAACGATGAAATCAAGCACATTCATGTCAAGCAACACAAACAAACTTACTTGAGAAGGTCCATGAGGTGTCGGATGAAGTCTCCCTGGCCCAGCAGAAGGTATCTCCTCATGGCCTGAAGATGTTCCAGCAGTTGGTAGTTCTTATTCAACACATCCAACAGATACTTACTGGTCTCAAAATATGCAGCATCAATCTTACTCTGAAAGGCCCCTTCCAGATCAGTGAACAATTCTGTCGCTGAGAAAGATATACAGGGTGTTAAATCAAAGCAAGAGCATGGGAGAAAAAAGAAGAAGAGGAATGAGACAGAGCAAGAAAGAAAGAAAGACCCTTTTTTTCTGGCAAATCCTTGCGGCAAACATATTTATTACAAGCTTATATTTCCCATATAAATAAAATGCAGAAAAAAGACGAAACTCAGTTGTTGTCACGATACTGGAATTTCGATACCTCGAAAAATATCGATATTTGATACCACAGTGACAGGGAAAAACATATACGTGTTTAATAATATACACTTTTTTTATGGCTGTCAAACGATGAATCGCATCCAAAATAAAAGTTTGTGTTTACATAATATATGTGGGTGCACTGTGTATAATTATTTTATATATATAAAAACACACACACATGCTTGTATATATTTAAGAAGTATTTTCATGTATATAGATTTATATATAATTTATATTATATATAAATATTTTATATGTAAATAATATTTTTTTAGGGCTGTGCAAAAATTAATCGCATCCAAAATAAAAGTCTGTGTTTACATAATATATTTGTGTGTGCTGTATATAATTATTTTGTATATATAAATACACACACATGCATGTATATATTTAAGAAAATGTGTTATTCATATATAAAATATTTATATTTATATAATATAGATTATGTATTTTTATATATACACAGAATTTAAGTGCAAATAATTCTTAAATATATACATGCATGCATAGGTATTTATATATACAAAATAATTATATACAGCACACACAAATATATTATGTAAACACAGACTTTTATTTTGGACAGCCGTAATTTTTTTCTTAAATATACATGCATGTGTGTATTTAGATATACAAAATAGAAAATAAAAAGGGTTTTATACCTGGAAAATAGAAACTATGATAACCTTGGTTGTGACTAACTGTTTATTAAAGGTTTACAAAATTATGGTGAACGACGTGACTGTATTGTTTGCCAGATTTGTGCCAATAAATAATTGAAAAAATAACTCTTGCAAGGTTATACATGTAAAGAAAGAGACGAAAGAAAAAAATAACCCAGACAAAGTCAATGCGAAGTAAGAAAGGTTCAGGACAGGGCACCAGAAAACAAAGAACCTTCTGGAATCATACTGAAGGACAGAGATGTACGTTGGAGGCTAAGAGCATTGATTAGCCATGCTAGCAAAGATGTTAAATACAGCCAGCGTCGATATAAACAAATACACCACAGACAGCCGGTCAAAAACTGCACTTTCCTCCACAACAAATCAATCCTTCTCTCTCTCCATCCCTCACTTTCAGAAGGTTATTTAACTATTAGCTGCCATTATGGCCACAAATAATCGCATTAGCAAGCATAAATGGAGCTATTTTAAGCAACTACATTAGCGCTAGCTCACCATCTTTGGGAGAGTCGGTGGATTTGGAGGCGGGCATGATCTTTCCCGGCGGCGTCCTGTCGTGGCAAACCTGATGCAGGAAGTTGATGGATTTGCCAATGAGTAGCACCTGGAGAAGGGCAGAAAGGAAGAAAACACATCACTGCTGAATCACTGTTAGGTAATGTCTTGCATTAAACAATCAAACTGGGTTTTTGCTATTAAAGGAAGTAGTTCACTTTCAAAAAAACTTGCTGATAATTTACTCACCCCCATGTCATCCAAGATGTCCACGTCTTTCTTTCTTCAGTCGAAAAGAAATTAAGGTTTTTGATGAACAGTCCAGGATTTTTCTCCATATAATGGACTTCAATGGGAACCAAACGGTTCAAGGTCCAAATGAGAGTTTCAGTGCAAACTACAAACTGTTCAAATGGCTTTAAACGATACCGGACGATGAATAAGGGTCTTTAAAGACCCTTCGAGTCATGACTCGAAAAAAGATTTGTTCATTTTGATGAATGAACGCGCATCACAGAACAGAGCAAGATGGGCATTTGAGCCTATAAAACTCAAACTTTGTCATTTATTTTTAAATGAGCGATCGTTTCGCTCGATAAGACCCTTATTCATCGTCTGGAATCGTTTAAAGCCCTTTGAACAGTTTTCACTGAAACTGTCTTTTGGACCCCATTGAAGTCCATTATATGGAGAAAAATCCTGGAATGTTTTCATCAAAAACCTTAATTTCTTTTCCACTGAAGAAAGAATGAAACAGATATCTTGGATGACATGGGGGTGAGTAAATTATCAGCAAAAGTTTTTTTAAACGTGAACTATTCCTTTAATGAAGAAAACGTGAGTGTGGTTGATATAGGTTAGGTGAAACATGAGGAAAGGTGTGTGTTATAATATACTTTAAGAAATCAAACATACAATCTTCACCTGGTGAGTGATAACATTTATATATATTATAAATATATTTATACAAGCATATTTTATATAACTAAAATACTAAATATTATACATAATACTATTTACAAGTCAAGTGTATTATTTGTAGTAATATTGTCAATTTGTAATTTTTTTAATATAAATATTTTTGAATGAGTATCCAAAATATTGCACATCATATTTTTCACAAGTGTAAAAGTATTTGTAATGTTTTCAAAGGGCAAACACCACTCACATTTCCTTTAGAAAACATAAAAACCTTGTCTCATTCCTCGATCAATAACACTGACTTTATGCCATCACGTAAAGTACATGATATAAGTGCTGTACCTTCCTGGCTTGGTCCATTGTGATGAAGGACGGGATCATACTCTTCCTCAGAGAGTACTTGTCATGCCACAGTCTGTCCGTCTTCACTGTCGGGTCAGAGGCTACAAAGAACTGAACACACATTTTGATGGTCAGAAGGATGTCTTAACTTTTATATTGTTTGATTTATGAAAGTTATTTTTCTCATAATGTTTACACTGATGAAACATCAGCTCTAAGACAAATAAATTCCCTCCATCGACTGGTCGCTGTAATGCAATGACCTTTCTGTGGTAATTACACAGACGAAGGAAATGAAAGTGGAAGAGTACATCAGTGCTTTCAACACGGCAACTATTAAAACGACTACGGCCGAGCTCGTAAACTACGGAGCTCGTAAACCCTTGGAGCAGGAAGGGAGTGTTTTCGATGGGTACATTAGTGGTATAACCCTGTGAAAAAGCCTGTTACACTTCAGCGAGGGCGAGATTAAATCCTGTGATTACAGGCGAGAGCGTCTGATTGGTGCCCATGCCAAGTGGAAGCCTGGAGTTGATTGGCCAATAACTCTTTTACGCCCGGCGACTTCAGACTTAGTCAAGTGGGCATAGGCTAAGTAAAGAAAGATTAATTGACACTACTTGGTAATGGCAGAGGACAAGGCGAAGTAGATGTGAGAGTGATGGTGGTGGAGAGAGAGAGACAGAAGGCCAGAGAGGAAGTGGAAGGAGAAGGGCCCATTAGCGCAGCCCCATCTGTCCTCATCTGGGTGTCTGGGTGTAGGAGACTGTGGTTCACTGTGTCTGCAAAACTTAAATCACACTCAGACACACAGTGCACGAGTCAATTTGAGGACACAGGCCTGAGATCAGCTTCCATTATGTGGTGGAAAACTGTATTTAATTATTAACTTTGTATCAATTAAGTGGTATTTCTTACACCCCCGCCAAGCAGACACAACTATCGAGAATCACGAAAATAATTAAGGCATGTTTTCTACAAAGTTCTTCGCTAAATGAACTCAAATAACAATATATTTATGCATATAAAAATGCAATTTGCCTAAATAAATGCCATAAAGAGAATTCTATAAATATTTTACTAGGGATATGAACATTTTGGCCGATACCCGATAATTCTTTACATTTGAAAGCCGATAACCGATATATTGGCCGATAAATCGAAATTCAATTTTTTATATACTTTGATAGCCTGTTTACATAAACAAAAGTCTTACAATTAAAAGCCTTGTCTCAAACACTTTTAAAATAACCTAGTTTGAACCAGTGTAAGATTGCTTAACTTTTAAAATTAATTTTACACTGGGCAACTTTGTTTATTAAAAAATGGTAACACTTTATAATAAGGTTTAATTTTGTTAGCATGAACCAACAATTTTATAAGATATTTTTAAGAAAGTTGTATCTAACATTAGTCAATGCACTGTGAACTAACACGAACACACATACTAACAATTAAGGCTATTGCTTGCCGTTACTTAACGTATTATTTACTTATTATCTATCGGCTTTGATATATATCGGCCCAATTTTCTTATCGGATCAATAACGATAACATCAAGAAAAACAATTTATCGGCCGATATCCGTATCGTGCATTCCTATATTTTACAGCAAAAAATCGTTCAACCAGTTTAAATAAACTCGTTAATTCGGACCGTCTGTATTTTAGTAATTGAAATAAAGCTGAAAAAACTCGTACTGTACATTGCTAATTAGAGCCCGACCGATTAAGGATTTTGAAGGCCGATACAGATACAAATATTTTTTGGTTTTAAAATCCGATGTATATATATATATATATATTTTTTTTTTTTTCAGAAACGCGCAACAAAACATTAACATATTTCCCTAACATAGTTATTTGTAGTTATTTATGAGTTTTAACTGAAATAATATGATAAAGCATTTTAAAAAGAAACTTGTTTCTTTATTGTCACAACAGAACAGAGGAGCATCAAAATATATTAAAGTTCTGATAAATAAAATAATAATTAGTCCCTACATTGCCTTATAAGCAACCTTATAATGTCAAGTTAGCTAGTCTATGATGAGCCATAATTTAGCAATAACGTCATACTGCAAATTGTAAAACATACATTTTCAATTTAACAGGCCAAGGAGAGATGATTAAAGCGTGTTTCGTCCGCTTTTATTTTATTTTTGAAATATTCATTTATCGGCCATTATAAATGCCGATACCGTTTGGAAAATGTCTAATATCGGTCGGCCGATATATCGGTCTGTCTCTATTGCTAATGACGTAATCTGTTTAAACAGATTACGACTAAATTAAAGAGACAATGACTAAATTAAAAGTGAATTAAAACCAATGCATCACTTAATTCTATTCTGCCAGCAAAATCATAGCGAAAATATGAATATTTAGTCCTGGCCTGCATAAAAGGCACATAGAGTGCATAGGTTTGCAGTGTCGAAGTAACTATACGTATTTAATACAGAAAGTTCTAGCAAGGATGACTCTGCAAAGAAAAGCAGTGTGTGTTCATGTCCTGACCTCATGGTACGTATCCTCCAGCTCCCCGTCATAGATCCAGCGATACAGGAAGTTGAGAATAGGGTGGGACACCAGACCAAGGATGTGCTGGATCAATGCTCTCATGTGGGGGTCACCTGTCTTCCCATACGCATGTACAGCTGAGGCCAGCTCTCCTCCTTTACGCCCTGTGAGAGAAACCAAACTGAGGCTGATGTCTTTGTGCTAAATGCACCTATTACAATGAAACATGATGTTAATCCTGTATCTTTTAAATGAGCCGTTTCATCACTAACCTTGGCAGTAATCCACCAGGGCGGCCAGTGTTTTCAGCCGAACCTTGGGGTCGTAGGTCCACACCAGCAGTCTCCTCAAAGTCAGACTGCTGTCCACGCTCACGTTTACACCCTGATCATCTTCCACCTGGAGCTAAACACACACAGACAATACCATTACCACTTTAACACAGAAATGGCGCTGGTTCTCATACTTATTAAGCTGCTTTTAATGCTTTTAAAAAGACTATCGCAACTTCTGACTATGTTATCCTGCAGATTCCTCCAGCAAAGAAGCAGCAGCAGAAAAGGGGCTAAATCAAATAAATGTTTCATGGTCAAACACACACATTCTCCTCGGACTCACCTGTGCATGAAGTACAGACAGCAATCTGTAGTACTCCTTCAGCTCTTGATGCAAAGCAGCACAAAAACTCTGAGAACAAGGGTGAGAAACGTAATAGTCTGCTAAACAAAAGTATTACCTTTTGTCAAATAAGGAGTAGATCCAGCATCAAAAAGATCTGTGTAGCAGTTAAGGTTGTATATGATGTGTTCACTGTCAGCCATGTCACATTCCCTACCTGTCCGACTAGGCCAAAGGCTCGATCCAAGCTGTGGGAATCTGTGTATTTTCTAATTTTATTGTGGAGCCAGCCGAGCTCTGCTAGCCTGCTGCTAGTGTCTCTCAGAGACTTACACAGCGGCACCTACAAAGCAAAAAATACAGTCAACAACATGTTTATGATTAATGATTACATACTAATGGACTATAAGAAAAACAACTGATTGTATTTGTAAGTTAAATAGTTGAGTAATATGCAAACACGCATGCAAAATAATTTTAAAATACCCATCTCGGCGAGTATCCTCGCAAATACTGTCAAATATGGCTTGAGTGAACGAAAGAAAATGGATGTGCATCATTATAGGATCAGTGCATTAGTTCTTAAAGTGACAGCAGCCTAATATACCCCAGTCATTGATGTTAATCAAACAACGAATTACAAAGAGAACCACTTTTGCAGTTTCAATTAAACAAAGATGAATTATATTTAAATTTATACAGTGAAGACTACGCAGTGTTATTTACAAGTGTTTGTTACTGTTAGACTTACCTTAAAAATATAAAGCGCTGTTTATTTAATTTGTGTCTTTGTTTTTATATTGTATTTATCTTATTCTTGTAATTTGTATGTTATTATCTATGCAGATTCACTCCCCTACATAATCACCTCAATCATTCTAGATTATCACATTAATTCTTTAAAAATAGAGCTTTCAAAGTCATTTGGTGACACTGTTTTTATATCACAACACAGATCGCAGAAAAAACTAAATGTTGCAATATGAGTTTATTTTTATATGGTGCAGCCCTGATCCAAAGATTAGTTTAACTCATGCTATCTGGGTAAATGTCAACACATGTCCTCATATTAAGATTATATATATCTATACTTCATTAACCGTCACGTCGGTCCCACAGGCGGGACGTTTGCCATTATATTTTTAAAACAGTAAAAACCTTAAGTAATATTGACAAACTATATCATTTTAAAGCTTACAATCTCTAGTTTCCATATTTGGTGACTGATTTTAAAAATAAATTACAGAGGAGCCATAATTTATAAATATGCAACAAGAATATTTTCATACTCATAAGTGTTCAGACCTTTATTTTGAAATAGTGATGAAAAATCATGAAAAAAAAAAAGGTAGAAACATCAGTTTGTTTTTATGCCAAGAGATCAAAAGATAGCACCCATTTAATTATTTTAGAAAAAAGGTCTGAAAAGTTTGAAATAAAGAAAAAAATTATAAATTCACAATTTGTGATGTGGCAGTGAGCTATGACGCACATGCATGTTCTTTGTATGTGTTTATTAGAGGTTGAATTCATATCAAAATCTGCCAAACTTCCCATACTACCTATGAAAAGGATCTTTACTTCATAAATTGTATAAAAATTGTGGAAATAATTTTTCAAATCACTCAAAACACATGGAAATGGAGACTGGTAGGGACCCAGTGGAAGCGTTTGGTACTGCGCCCAAACAAAATTTTACTGAAAGCTCATTTTTTGAAATATCAACCTACAATTTGATAGATTTTTCTGCAGTTTTAGAGTAGCCCAGGTTTTGAAAATATATATTTTATATAAAATATGAATAATTACTTTTTAAAATTGTACATTTCCATAAACTCAAACTTCTATAACTTTTTTTCTGTTTCACCTACTTAATTCATTTCACTTCTACAAAAATCTGCCAAATGTCTTCTTTAAAATAACACCAATCTTATGTCTATATTCCAAAACATTCTTGAATTACAACCATTTAAGTTTGAAATGTGCACTTTCCATGTCTAATAAAAAAGGGGGGTGACAGCATGTAATACATACAAATTTACACTGACATGGAGTTTGACTTTTAGGTTTTTATGAAATAAAGGCATTTATCTCCATCTGAGGTTCTAAGGGCATGTCACGTCCAAAACAAAACCAAACAAGGTCTGGCCCATCAGAGTGCTTATTTATCTGGCATACCTCACTGGACATAAAAAGCACATTGTTCTTTTCCAAACAAATGGATGCTCCATTTTAAAAGTGTCACTTAAAAAGGACACCTGATCGATGATTCCTGGTCAACGTCTGCCAGGAATGTGAAAAAAATAAACCTGGGGAGCCTCTTGGCACAAATGGATGGGCCAACGTTAGTTACAGCCAGACAGATGATGAGATCAATGCTTCGACATTTCCCATTATGCACTTACAAAACAGGTGACCCTACTTAAGTTTGTTTAATAAGAACTCACTTAAACTAACATTTGCTTTGTTATTACAGTCATTATGAATGACTGAGTGATTTGATGTGCTGTTTATTATGATTAAATAAAACTTTTTATTTGTGGTGGCATTTAAACGTGTGGTAATTAAAACAATTGCTTTATAAGAACACAATAAGCAAACATTATGAAAATGTTCTCATAAAATGGCACATACTCCATTCATAATTTTACAGTGACAATGACCTTGCTACAGTTTTTCTCTATATCATTTTATGCTAATATATGCTACCATTCCACATTTCGGGATCGGTAAGATTTTTCATCAAGGCTGCATTTATATGACAAAAAAAAAATACCATAAAAACAGTAATATTTGTATTATTGCAGTTTATAATAAATTTATTCCTGTGATGTAAAGCTGAATTTTCTACATTATTACTCCAGTCTTCAGTGTCACATGCTGATTTGCTGTTCAAATATTTTTTGTGAAAACCAATAATACATTATTTTTCAGGATTCTTTGATGAAAAGAAAGTTTAAAAGAACAAAATGTATTTGTAATAGAAATATTTTGCGATGTAAAGTACTCATTTAAACTGGATGCAACACGACTTGAAGCTGTAAATTTGCCAGTTGATCTCAATGTGCCAAGTACCGCTCCCAAATTTTCCTTTCATTGTTTAAGGTTGCTAAGCAACGCAACTGTCTTGCATGTGGGCGAAAGAGCAACAAAAATCAAAAAGAGAAAGAAAAATAAAGACAGAACCGTAATAAAAGAAAGATCCAGCTAGCTAATAAAGCATCACCTTTGAGTCGATTTTGTAGCAGTTTTCTGGGCTGCACATCTTGATGAACTTTCCGTCTATTCCCTGGAAGACATAAAGAATGTCTCGGACGAGAGCAGCCTCCCCGATCTCAGCTGGGTCAGAAGAAGAGAAAGAAAGAATTGTGGCGGGAAAAAAAGAGAATTTCAATTAAAAAACTGTTAAGGCCATGCTCATAAATCTGTCACAGAGAATGTGGTGCTATGTGGCCGACTGCATCTTAAACACCTCTGAAATAGTGGAGACATTTTTTCTCTCTCTACAAGAACGGAGAAAAATCTAATACAAAAGGCACTTATCTATTCTAACTAATCTTAAAGGGATAGTTCACACTGAAATTAATTTTTGGTATGTTTTAGCTTATCTTAAGGGCATCCAAGATGTACTGTAGGTGTCTTTGTTTCCGCAGAATTTTCAATTTCGATATTTTTAGGTCAAACCGTTCTTGTCAGTCATATAATGGAGGTCTATGGTCACCACCTCAAAGAGCATGCATAGAGAAGTCCAAATTAAACATGATTTAATGACTCGTAAATGCAAGTACACATTGATGGCCTGTACTTACATTTATGAGTCATTAAAGCATGTTTAATTTGGACTTCTCTGTGCATGCTCTTTGAGGTGGTGACCATAGACCTCCATTATATGACTGATGTACACGAACGGTTTGACCTAAAAATATCAAAATTGAAACTACTGCGGAAACAAAGACACCTACATCTTGGATGCCCTTGAGGTAAGCTAAAACATATCAAAAATGAATTTCAAAGTGAACTATCCCTTTAAGTATTCTAAAACTACTTGAAAACGAGGGCTTGTCCACCAAGATTTATGCCATCTATTGCAAAAACTCCCAGACGGTCACTCCCATCACTGGTGTTTACCACATTTTTAAACAAACACTTGTTTTCTTAATTATTCTATTTCTAAGTCACCATAAAATCAAACTGGATGATTCTAAATGTTTTTTTTTTAAATTTTTTTTATGTAATTAGGGAGGCACTAAAATGTTGGCTACTGACAAAACAGATATTTTCGGTTTCGGTTCAAAATCAGTGACCGAAACAAACGCTTAATTAGCGCTTCTCCGATGGCACGTTTTGACAGCATTGTGGACACTAGCTCTGGATTTACAATCTTCATTTCTTGTTTTTAATCAATAATGATATGTTTTTTAAATCCGTGTTGTTTTCTGTTGATGTGTGAAAACCTCATTAAACATTATTTGTAGCGCCTACCACCCAATAATCGCAAAAAAGCTTTGTGCTTTGTTACTTTTAATACGAATTAAAGTCTCAACATTAAAATCAACTATACTATTGTATACTATTATATTACATTTTTTCTTGTTCGAGAAGCAGTTTTACGACACAAAGGCGACACATCTTGAGTTTAAAATACTATCATTAATACTAAATACCTTATTAATTTTAGTATATAGTATCAGTCACCCAATTGTTTCCTGTTCATTTCCTTTAACAAAACAGTGATTGTTGCTGCAAACACTCACCACTGCCATCTCCATCCCGTCTCGGTCTTTGTGGGGGTCTGGGTGCCGGACTGGAAGAGGGTCCGCTGGTGGGACGAGGGGCAGCACCTGACCCAGAGGGCGAACTGGACACTGGGAGAGTCCAGGCTAGACGAGACCCTCTCATAGACTCACTGACGGGCTGAGGTCCAGGTCTGAAAAGCAAGCAGAAAATGACAAGCGTGGAAAAAGTTTCCTATATAAATACATTCAAGTTTATCTGAAAACCTCTGCACTTCATTTAACAGCTAAACTCAACAGAAGGTCAAACTCAAGGAAAGTGGTCAGTATTTTTTTGTGCCTTTTGTCTTGAGACGCATCCTTGCACTCCATTAGCGATATCTGTGGGAATTCACTAATTACCTCGTAACGGTGAGCTTTAACAAATAATGACACTGAAGTACAGACACTTTAATGATGCCGTGGGTTGGACAGATTTACTGTCAAATGGATCCAGAAATCAATTAATTCAGGGCTTGGAGTACATGGTCATATTTAAAAATATCTTAAGTGCTGCAGGCGCTAGACAGCTGTGTTAATAATAGATGAGCGTGTGGCAATTAAATTCAATTAAACATGCTACAATTACAATAGCTGTATTATTGAAGAAAAAAAAACTATTAAAACCAGAGAAAGAAAAACCCATTTGACTGATACTGGGTAAAGGACAACATGAAGCAAAATAAAGCACTTCAAATTCAATTTTATGAAACCGCATGCATCAACCGAAGGTCCATTGCTACGTGACACGACAGCCACTTAATGTAAATAAATAGTTTCAGTGAATCTAATGGGAGCAATATTAGTTGCTCATGGCTAGTGTGTAGACAGACACTGAGCTTATACAAAATATAAGTAGGCCCTGCAAACAAATTTTGCTCGGTCTTTACTTAGAAACAGACTTTTTTTTGCAAATGTATAGTATGAAACACTTTACATGAGCGTGTTTATTTCCCCTGTAGACAAAAACAATGAAAAAAATAATAAATATGAGTGTTGAAACTAGAGGCCGACCGATAAAGGATTTTGAAGGCCGATACGATACAAATATTTTTGGATTTTAAAATCCGATATATCGGCCAATATTTTATTTATTTATTTATTTAAACTGGACAGTCACAAACTGACAGTCACAAATTTTGTGAAACTTATTTGAGTTAAGAGAACTGATAGGGATGTTCTTTTAATTGTTATTCAAGCAATGTATGTCTCGTGACCAACTCAACGAGTGTTGCGAACAGGAACAGTGTAGAGTGCCCTCTGGTGGACAAACTATACAACTCCAACACTCATGACATGGTTCAAGCGTGTTTCGTCCGTTTTTATTTTATTTTTTAAATATTCATTTATCGGCCATTATAACTGCCGATACCGATAGTTTGGAAAATGCCTAATATCGGCCGATAATATCGGTCTGCCGATATATCGGTCTGGCTCTAGTTGAAACAAACCAGAAACAAAGATTTTAAATGGGTCCTATTAGCTCATTTACATTACAGGTTCAGCATTTTTTAATGGGGTCTAATAGAACACATTTGCATAATTGAATGTTGAATAAATAAAACATTTTTATTATAATTTCCATTTTTGCAGCACCTGTTTTCATCCTCTGCCTGAATACTCTGCTTTACTTTCGATTTCTTTAAAGTCACCATGAAATCAAAACTGGTTCAGACCATATTACAAAAACTCATTGCTCTACTACTCTGAGCAATGTTTGAACTTTATATTTTGAGCACTTCTTTTGTTGTTATTGCCTCTTCACAATGACTTGTTTGATTTAGTCCTCAGATGCAAGTCGCTTTGCATAAAAGCGTCTACTAAATGACTAAATGTAAATGTAATATCTTCACATCTGAACAACATGTCTGTGTTTTTTTTTACATTAATCATGGTTGTCAACTTGCCAGCCGCAATTATCATTAAAAACAATGCAAAAACAATGCAAATTTTGATTTTGGTAAAACTCAATGTGTGGCTTTTGCACTTTTTAAAGTACACTTTTACACATAAATACCTTGATTTAGGGTTTTATTTAGTTCTAATAAACAAAACAAAAATCGGATTGAATTTATTTTATCCGATTAATCGAAGGGAAAAACCAAGTATTCGTCCGATTAATCGATTTATCAAAATAATCGTTAGTTGCAGTCCTAGGTGTATGTTGCAGAAAGAGAAATCAAGACCACAAATCAAGGATTTTGAGGGATTCAGAAATGGTATTTACTTGTATAGAGAATAACTTTGAAATATGACTTTGTAACTTAGCAGAACTTTTTTATGCTCAAACTGCAACATTACATACCAAAGAAAGTTGAAAATAAGTTTAAAAAACATAACAGAAGCCTTTTAAAATACATTCAAATTGAAAGTTTTAATTTTAAATTGTAATAATACTTTATACTTGTCGATTCTGCTGAGATGAAACGGTAGTATTTGATTCACAATGGGTGTTGAAGCCATTCTGCATAAATATGGTCATTTCCCATTTGGAATTACTGGCTTCAAAGCAGATGCAACATGTGGCATTAGCAAATTATATGCTGATTTTAGTCATTTTTGGAGCTTGACGGCTCTTGCTCACTGTATTTCTGCATTTATAGGAGCTGTATGTAAGAATTTATTTCAAATAATCATAAAATGGCCCTGATATGTCACTAGACATTTCAAATACTTATATCACTGACAACAGTAGTCCAGCCAGGATATTGTCATTTAAAAAGTGAAGTTGCAGCCCTCAACTGATGTTGATGTAGTGTTTTGGCCTGATGCTCCACCCTCCTCCGATGCAGCATCCGGGTTGCCAGCTCTGTTCTAGTTACCACAAACGTGTCGGATAAAAAAAAAAAGTTGGATCCTGCAGTATATCTGGCAACCTCGAGTCAGTGGGGAGGGGATACACCGCTCTACAGTAATTTGAAAGTGACTGCAGTACCAGTTTTGGCCACAATCTTACATACAGCTCCTTTAACTCTTAAATTGCAAGTCCATCACTGCCACTCACCCAGTAAGCAGAGACGGAGGGGTCGGTCCAGGCCCGTTGATGGAGAACACTCCCATACTGCTGATGCCACTGGTGGCCATGCTGGAGTTATGGGCGGTGGCAGAGCGCTCTGGGTAGCTGAGCGGGAGGCTCTGGGGACGGGCGTAGTAGAACGGGGTGGAGTGGACATCCCGAGGCAAAGCCTGGGCAAGCAGAGGTCCATAACTACACACCTGTGGACAGGAAAGAACATTACCTCTGCCCTCATACATAAAGATCAAATGATTTTCATTATGTTATTGTGCAGTGAATGACTGGAGAAATATTTCATACAGGAACCCGGTTGGATGGCTTCCTTGGGTCTTCACAGAGGCTGAGTAGGAGGTATAAGATGGACCATCTATGTTTCAATATGCCCTGTTCACCAGACAACAAAATCAACATGTGCATAAAACAATACGCAGTCCTTGAATATCTATGGAAATATTAATATAAACTCAACACATTGTGGAGACTGACCTGGGTCTGAAGCTTTCTGTGCAACTCAGAGAACAGGGCAGCATCTGCTTCCCGTCTTTGTTTCAACACTAATAAAGAAGCCAAAAATAAAAAAGTTAGTTATTTTGCATTTGAATCGCACAAGGCTGAAATATTAAAGAATTGCCTGATGAGGTTAAAGGGATAGTTCACTTTGAAATTCATTTTTTAATTTGAAATTAATTAACTTGAGTGGCGTAAGGTGCTTGCGCAGACCGAAGCGCCCACGCCCTCAGATCACTTGGACGTGGCTGTGGTTACAAGAGCTAAAAATGACATAAATACTGTTCGTTGAGGTGGTGACCATAGACCCCCATTATATGACTGACAGACAAGACAGTTTGACCTAGAAATATCAAAATTGAAACTACTGTGGAAACAAAGACACCTACATCTTGGATGCACTTGAGGTAAGCTAAAACATACCAAAAATTAATTTCAAAGTGAACTATCCCTTTAAGACCTGTTGAAAGACCTGATTCAGATTATTTCATCTTCAAATAACAACAACAACAACAAAAAAGCACAATATATTAAATACCATAATAAATTAAATGGACAAAGGAGTGTCTCATCTTTGGATAAATATAATCATTGGTATAAACTACAGCTTAAAATGAATGGCCAAGGGGTAAAGACAACTACTTTTACAGTGGAAAGTAACAAACTTAAAACTGTAATTACATTAGAGTTCATTTTAAATGGTATGTTAGTTATCATAATTATTCATGTTTTTATCAGTCTAGATTATGAAATAACTGCTGACAGCACTAAACATGTTTTTTGCTTAATGATGATTAGGCCTACATGCCATGCAAACTTCTTGCTTTCTATAAATGTACTGAAAATTATTTATTTATACATTTAAAGAATTGATTGTTTTGGAACCACGAATGGGTTGAAAATTATAAACAAATCACCATATACCCATCAAAAAGTGCTTATGAATGTATAGCTGTTCATTTTTGTACAGAGACAATAATGTTTAATGATAAACATTTCTTGCTGACATAAATGTTATTGTTGTCAAAAATATTTGTATTCTCAGGGCAAGTATATATTGGTCCAACTACCCGGATCAATCAAACAGATTATCTTTATTGTTAAGCCCTGCACAGAATGATCTATGAGCGCCACCTGAAATGATAACAGCTCGTGAATAAGGTAAGAACAGGGTTTTAGATTACTCACGTTCTTTTTTAATTTTCTCAGACACCAGAAACTCATCCCGTTCAATTGTGGGTGCATAATTACTTCCGATGACCCGCACTGCATACTGGAACTGATGAGCTACGTCAGCTGAGAAGATACACAAACAACAGCATTCATAACTTAAAATTACATACAAAAGCATTTTCATAGATATTCACAAGACACCTTTCAGTTTGATAACAGGATCTAAATGAGGACCCAATTCAAAATCTACCACATGAAATAGTGTCTGGTTCAACAAAGTCATTAGCTGACAGCAGGGATCATATTCCTGTAGGTCTGCTGTGTGTCTACTTCTGCTAGATCCACTGATGAGCTGCTCATGATGTGTTCTTGCAGATTCACACATCCTACTGCGAAATATGACAGCATCAGTGAGCTGATAACATAGTTAATAAATAATGGCGTTGGTTGTGAACAGGTTTGAATCATCAGGGTCTTTTTTGATCTAAAGGGCCATTTGAAACAGGGGCCCTGTATTAACCAGCATCTCCCTAATGTTTTGCCAACCTGTTCGCTTACAGCATCCCATCGATGGAGGAGACCCTCCATCAAATAATCTGTTTTCAACGAAACCCCCCATTTACTAATCGCTACACATAACGTTACTGATCATGTTACTAAGCAGCTGTGTGACAGTGATGTAAGCGGTTGATAGCTGTTTCTTTACCTTCACTCTTGCCCGTGATCTTACAGCACAGACTCTGCAGAAGCACGTTGGGTGATTTCTGATCAAGAGTCGCCATTGTGCAATTATATATCCCCTCCCGTACGAGCAGAAGCGGTCCGCGGCGTGCTTTTAACCGCTGTCGCTTTTAATACGGTGGGTTTCAGCTGAGAGCAACAACAGCGCCATTTTAACGGAACCCGCCGAAAAGCGCCCACATCGGACACTAAACGGAAAACACGGCAACGGTGCGCAACGGAAAAACATCCGGCTGTAAAGTGAGACTTTGGAAAGCGTTCCTCTCTACAAACGTTCCCTAAAACGCAAAATGTAATTAAGTAATTTGGAAATTATTATTATTATTATTATGTTGTCTTTTACTAAACACTGAAATGGGGTAATAAGTGTATGAATGGTGCGCAGGACTATAAACTTTAAAAAGTAACTCTGAGTACAAAACTCTGCACTCGCACATTATATGAATATTTAATATCGCGATTAATCGCATCTAACATCTAACGTATATATATATATATATATATGAATGCATTAATATTAATTTAATATTTTTAATATATATGAAGGGATTCGATTAATATACACACATGCGCACGCTAACACACACAGAAATGTTTATGTTAGACCATTTGATTAATCACAATTAATCTATTTGACAGCACTAATAATTATGAATGATTTAATATTATTTGTTATTATCATCCTTATTACATTTAATGAAGAAGAAATATAACATAATGAAATAAAAACAGGTCCAAAAATAAAAATAAATAAATAAATAACTCACAATAATTTACTCATGTCATTTATTTAAATAAAAAAAAATATTTGTATTGATTCATAATGCCAAAAATGTAGGTTAATAATTAATATTATAAATAATTGTTCTTTGTTCTTGTTTTTTATTTATAAAAAATATTATAAAATGATGGCTATTGTATTGAAACAACACACATTTTTATTAATAATTGTTAGGCTGATTTCATTACAATAATTGAATTATAATGATCTTATAATTTGTAAATGATGTCATATTTAGTATGATAATTTTTGGTTTGATAGCTTCTATTGCTCTCCTCATTTGTAAGTCGTTTAGGATAAAAGCGTCTTCAAATGATTGCAAATGATTAACAAAATCACTAATAATTATTGTTAGTGAATTATTTATCTTTTTCTACAACTTTCCAACTTGTTTCCCCCCTCCTAGGTACAAAAACTAGTTTTGGTGATATTTTATTAGCCAACAATCTTGTCTTACAGAAAGATAAAAGGCACAAAGACTTTCAAACATTTAAATCTCTTTCTTTATTACAAGCAAATGTACATGTTCTTGCTGTTAATAGCTAAAACCGGCAAAAATCCACATATCTACAGATATCAATCTTTTAAAAACTTTATACAAAATGAGCCCAAACTGTACATGAATATTACTACATACTGTATATGCTGTAAAGTGTACAGTTGTATACATATATATATAATAAATTTATGAGCAACATCACGCTTTGTGCAGATAAAACAAAAAGCAATAGATATTTCGTTAATCCGAACAGGCTGGCACAGATGAAGCCCCACTACAGTTATAGCAGTAGACATCTAATCAAATATTTGGTCACACCTGCTTTAAAAACAGTGAGTGTATTTCATCTTCCTATAGTCAGAGTGAGCAATGACCATGCACATAATCTTAAAAACTACGTCAAACATATTTAAAATCATCTATAAAAAAAAATAAAAAAAACCAACAACAAACTGTTAAAGCTATATTTGTCAAACTTTCATCTTTACTGAAGTTGATTTCTCCCATGACCTTACATTTGGTGTTTGTTTTCATTTAAACGGAACAGTAACATTCGAACTCTTAGAACATTCCGAGAAGTTCTCTTCATCCTCTAGATACAAAAGTAGCAAAAGACTCTTTTTTTTTTCTCTCCACGATATACAAAATACCTACTTCATATAGCCTTTTTTAGACGGACAGAATAGTGTTCGCCAGTGCCTGAACGCACCCCTGAGGCAGACAGCGTTCAGTGATCAAATTATTCTTATATTACAAGAAATCGTTCTGATTCAAAACAACAGTATGTCAGAAACAAGAAAACACATTTGTGAAGGGACATTTGTTCTGGAACCAGCTGTGGTGGTTTGTAGTCGTCATTCGCAGCAATCCAATTAACGCCGTAGTGCACAATTTCTTTTTTTGTTACATTCAGGAAGCCAGAGATAGTGTAATAGTGAACAAAATACTAGGAAATACAGTGAAATTCAAAATAAAAATACAGTTAAAAAAACATGAATGCATTAATTTACCCCTATTATATTAGTCTTGGCTACTTCAAATCATAGCACATTCTTGTTTTGTTTCAGATTCGCCAGCATTGATTAGCATCACTTGGACTGGACTGGAAGTTTGAACACAAGTTATTAAAAAATAAAAGTGGTTTATATAAATAAGAATATGACTCATAATCGCTTGATAAAGCTCAGTGATTGGTCCATCACTTCGGCATGCAAAGTTCAGACTTGGATAATCAATAAAATAGACAGTGTTTGACAGATTTCAGGCAGATTATACATTCACACAAATGAAATAATATACTTTTTGGACCAGAAACAAAGTTAATGCGTTCATTTTGTTATGCACTCATCCATCCACTCAGCCTTTGTAAACCTCGACATCAATATACTGTAGATATAATGTGTGCATGAAAAAAGGACATTCTATTACTATTCTGTGACTTTTCTTCAACATTGACCCAAAGATTTTGTTCAAAAATATTAGCTAGCTATACCCATAATGCAATTCCTTAATCTGACATTCTCTGTTGCAGGCCAACTGATGGGCAGTTAAAACACACGTACTGTATGTGCAACGCATGAACATTGAGGTTAAAAAGCACCAGAAGGCACCTATACTCACAAGAAGCTTGGAGTAACCATCAAAACAGTGACCTTGATGGTCTTTCACATCACCTACTTTGTCTCTCTTTAATGGATGATGGTTAAAATGGTGAAATGGGCGACTGGCCTCATCATGAGAACAGAATGACAGGGTGAGAGAAGGAAATCCGCGCCAGGAAAGAAGTCGAGATGAGGAGATGATGCTCCAGGAAAGCAAAACTACATTCAAGAATCGACGGAAGCAAAAACAAAACGAGAAAAACAAGCATGGAATGTGAAGGACAGCAGGGAAGGAGGGACTTTTTTTAGTTCGGTTCAGTTCCATATCCATCTCATCTGTGTTACAGTGGAATTTCAGATTGATCTCATGAAATGGTGTATGGATGACACGCCAATTCGTATTTCCATTTTTGGCGTGCTACTGTATCAAGACGCATAATCGCGTTTCAGCGTGTTTATGAACAGTAGTTCACTTTTCAAAAAACGTTGCTGATAATTTACTTACCCCCATGTCATCCAAGATGTCCATGTCTTTCTTTCTTCAGTCGAAAAGAAATGAAGGTTTTTGATGAAAACATTCCAGGATTTTTCTCCATATAATGGACTTCAATGGGAACCAAACGGTTCAAGGTCCAAAAGACAGTTTCAAACTGTTCAAAGGGCTTTAAATGATTCCAGACAATGAATAAGGGTCTTATGAAGAGAAACGATCACTCATTTAAAAAAATAAATAAATAAAAGTTTAAGTTTTATAAGCTCAAATGCTCGCCTTGCTGTTCTTTGTGACTCTCCTGTTCGAACTCGTTCATCAAAATGAACGAATCTTTTTCCGAGTCAATTCGCCCATTGAATGAACCAAATGACTCGTTCAAACAAATGAAAAAAGATTCGTTCTTTTGGACCTTGAACCGTTTGGTTCCCATTGAAGTCCATTATATGGAGAAAAATGCTGGAATGTTTTCATCAAAAACCTTAATTTCTTTTCGACTGAAGAAGGAAAGACATGGACATCTTGGATGACATGGGGGTGAGTAAATTATCGGCAAAAGTTTTTTGAAAAGTGAACTACTTCTTTAACGCTACATTACTGTATATAAATATATGAGCTACCCCAACCACGTCCCTAAACGTACCCGTCACTGAGGTTAATACCATTTATGAGTGTTCCCCTACCATAATTGGAAAAATATCGCTTCCCAAATGTAGATCTACATTTTGCTTCGTTTCGCTCAGACATTTAACGGCGTAGACATACACGCGTGTTTAAATAACACGCCACTTGAATATGCATATACATAACACGCCACTTGACTTGAAAGTGGCGTGTATGTTTACGCAAAAGTCATGACGCCATGTTGGGAATTTAATCCGAATTGCATTCAAATTAAACTTAAATCGATGCGAATCAAAATTCCGCGACTCGACGGAGATGGAACCGAACGCACTTCACAAGATGAGAATGTCAGGTGTGAGGCACATTTCCACTAGAAAGGAGCCATTTCTCTGAACATAGTGCCCAAGATAGGCCATCTGTCATGCTGACCTTGATTGAGTTGCTTGTGAACAGGACCACATGCTAATTACATCTGACTTATTTATATCAGAATCATAAATCAGTAATGTGCAACAAAGAATATGACAGCAACCCAGCACAGGGCTCCAGCAGGTCCATCAAAGGCTTAGGGAACAGTCATGGATGTTACAATCATAAAAATACAGACAAAAAAAAAGGTCTTTTGTACTTTTTGTGAACGCACAAAGACGTCTACGCCAACAGAAATGTTACATTTCATTGTTTTTTTTGTTCCTCGGGAGCCCTGGGCTGTGTGTTGGCGGCACTGGAAGATGTCGAATACTACATTTATCGCTCTACATCCTCAGCTGGTGCAATGTTAACTTAAGGCAGTGTGGTGGGATTCTTGGGAATGCCATCAAACACCTTCCCTCCTCTTCTCTTTAAGCATAAGGCAACTAACACACATTTATATACTCCGTATTTCACAACCTTTGGTTCCAAACTGTGGTGTAAAAGATGGGAAACATTAACATTAAGGCAGAACAGTTAAGCTAAGATGGCTAGCGTAGCCTTTAGAGTTGTATATCCGGTTCTACTCTAAAAAACGAAACAAAAACTAAAGGACTGATTATAGGGAACTAGAGAATTTTAAAGCAAGTCGTCAAGCAGCTAGGACAGAGTAACTGGTTGTCATGATGGTTTTAAAAACTTTGGAAGAGTAGAATGAGTGGATTTCCACCTTTTTGAAAGGTAAAGGGTGAAGCATAATGACAGTCCAGTTACAATATGTCTTTTTATAGTTGTTCTAACAAAGGCCTACACACACACACACACCTAGTTCACTCTAGTACAGTGCAGCAGCAGAAATGGCCAAATTTAGCCACTTACAATGCAATCGGACAAAGACAATCGCAGCCTATGGAGTGTTCCTCCATAACAGGTTTGCGCAAAAGCAACACCAGTTTGTTCTATAAAAAAGTAGGACAAGAAAAGAGAAGGAGCACGGGATAAAAAAAGGGAAGGGGAGACGAGAGAGAACAAAGAAAAGTCAGTTTTCAGAGCATCCGAGGCCATTTTAACTGTCATCCACAATCATATTCAGTGGTAGAGGTTGCGTTTGAGATGGAGAGATTTGTGCTACTACTGCCCAGTGTTGTTTTCAAGTAATTTTTCACATGAAGGATTACAAGGGTAGGTGAGCGAACACGTAAACCCACGGTGTAAAGGAAACACGCTCTCACGTACACACACACACACACAGAAATCAAGGTAAATAGGTCCCAAGGCCACTTAGCACAGTAGATGGTGCGGCCAATTCTGTTTGGCCTTCCTCCAGCTCCAAAACGAACACACAGCATCACTACCGCCCATTAGCGTTCGCCACAAGAGCCAATTTCAGTGCTTTTGCTTCAGATAAAGGGTGACGAGTCAAGATTGGTCTCCCAATAGCGTCCCAATCTTGACCCTGGGATAAGCGAGGCCGAATTGGATTAGATAACCGGACTGTTTCTTTTAGAGAGACTATCATACGGACGTCTCTGGACCCGGCGTGCTGTAGGCGTAAGCTGCCCCAGAGAATCTTGGGTTCTCTCCTATTCGGAGAAAGGAGCTGAAGGTGCAGTAGTCGGGCCTGCCACCCCAGTAGGTACACATGAGTTTTTTGGGACAGGAGGAGTCAGACCTGCGGTGTGTGTGGTTCTGGCTTTCGTTCCCCCGTCTGTCATGTTTTCGCGCAGGTGGAGCATGGAGGGAGGACAGGGGGGTGAACTCGGACAGGTGGCCTTTATACAACTTATCAGCATCCTGGAGAAAAGAAGGAGGTAACAGAGAGAAAGAGAATGAATTAGCAGATTGCATCATATACATGCATGTAAATGCTGGTATTGGTCACATCAACACATATCCAAAGCCCCAGCAAGAAGCGGTGCAAAAAAAATAAAATATTATACTTCACAAGATCACACATCGGATGTTTACCACATGCACAAGCCCAGTCCTAGAAGATGCAAAACTGATCGATTGAGTGGATGTTTTTTTGTTGTTTTTTCTTAAAAGGAGGGTGAAATGTTACAATTCATCCCAAAATCGAAAGAAAAATAAGTTTTGTTTTAAAATGAAATAAATTTATAGTAATGTTAAAAAGTTTGGGGTCGGTATATTGTTTTGAAAGAAGTCTCTTTTGCTCACCAAGACAGTTATTTGATCAAAAATACTCTGAAAACAGTAATAATATTACAGTAATGCATCGTTACCGTAATTATTCATTATCGTAATGCACCATTACCGTAATTATTCATTATCGTCATTCATCATAACCGTAATGCATCATTATTGTAATTATTAATTATCGTAACGCATCATTACCGTAATTATTAATTATCATAATGCATCATTACCGTAATTATTCATTATCGTAATGCATCATTACCGTAATTATTCATTATCGTAATGCATCATTACTGTAATTATTCATTATCATAATGCATCATTACTGTAATTATTCACAATCATAATGCATCATTACTGTAATTATTCACAATCATAATGCATCATTACTGTAATTATTCACAATCATAATGCATCATTACTGTAATTATTCATTATCATAATACATCATTTCCGTGTAATTATTCATTATCGTAATGCATCATTTACCTTAATTATTCATTACAGTAATAATTAATTATCGTAACGCATCATTACCGTAATTATTCATTATCGTAATGCATCATTACCGTAATTATTCATTATCTTAATGCATCATTACTGTAAGTATTAATTACCGTAATGCATCATAAAATTTCACTTTTGATTTTTTTTTCAATTTGTTTTTACCATTACAATTCTCATTACTGTAATATTGTGAAAAAATTACTGAAAAAAATGACTAATAGTTTATTTATTTATTTTTGATCATTACAGATTTATTTTTTTTCACAGACTGCAAAAAACCTCAACGGCCCCAAAACAGGCTTTATGTTCTTTAAGCAAATTATAATTTCTTGTTTCTTAGTTTTGAGTTTGTGGTTCTACAAAAAAAAAAAATAATAATAATAAAAAATGAGAGTGAGATTCGCTCAGTAGCAGAAATGATCATAAGCATGTTCTAAAAATGGGCATTTAGAAATATGCAAATAATATTTTTAATAGACAAGTAAAAATACACATGCAGGCCAGAGTGTTAGATGTTAAACTGTATGTCAAGTCTGCTGTGTGTATTTGTGTACGTGTCAGAGCCCGTAGTTCCCATGTCCATATACAGTACTGCACACCCCAAACCACAACCCAATACTTTCAAACCAAAGCAAACCAGTCTGTAGGTTTCACACCAAACAACAGACCCACACAGGTGTAGAAAAGGCTTTTTAACCCCCCCGAGTGCTTTCACTGGAGGATTCTAGAATTCTCAGAACGATTCTAGAACCGCACACTTCATCTGAGAACTCTAGAGCTCCACTTGAGTCGAGTGTGGATTAGTTCTTTCTGGCTTTAGTCTTCAACTTCACATTCTCTTTACCATAGAGTTGCTAGGCCTCAGTGGTGTTCTGAACCCCATCTAGCAGTGAATCATGAATGTTTGTCTCAACCCTTTCAAAGATCCTGTCAGCCCTCATTCTCTGTGAAACATCACACACACAAACAGACTCAAAATGTGGCATAACAGACCCATGTGCAGAATATTTGTTTCGACACTGAAGTATCTTGCTGGAACTGAAAGTACAGCAGCAGAAAATGCATTTCCATTTAACAACTTCAGATCTGCAACGTAAAATGCACATACGCAAACATAAACATGCACGTTTCATGCATGCAAACATGTAGAGTGACGGAATATAAGGCTCGGAGCATAAACGGATGCTTTAGGCATGTTGGGTAGCGGTAATGTTCAGGAGGTCTTCACTCACTGATACACACACGCACATGCAGAGACGGTGTGTAGGTTCACCTCCGCCTCAGTTCAGAAACTGACACTGCTGGAGGTCTGGGAGAGCATAAAGATGGTGGACTGCTCAGCAGTGAGACACTGACGCTTTGTCTGCCGTTACCACGGGTCACAGGCCAAGGGTTAAACACACAGGGGAGGGGGAAGGTCAAGCATCAGAGAGAAAAAGAGAGACGGAAGAGGAGTAAAAACAGAAAGGGTTTAGAGAGGTTAACAATCCTCAGAGATTGATAAAGGAACTTCAGCAAAAAGTGCAGTTTTCTTGCAGAATTATTAGTAAAACTTTACAATAAGGTTCAACTTATGGTAGTGTAAAAACTAAAACTATTCAAAATATATATTTTTTATTTGAAATGAAGAAATATTAGATGAAAAATTGCCTTGCAAACTGAATAACTGAAATAAATGTAAGTTTAAGTACTGAATTTACCAACACTCAAATTAAAAAAATATAAAGACTAATAAAAAAATTGGCAAACTTAAACTACTAAACAAATTATGTTTTCAAAATAGGAATAAATATTCTTATAATATCTAAATAATACTAAAATAACACTGTCAATTACACTGATTCATCATTACCGCAATTATTCATTACCGTAATGCATCATTACTGTAAGTATTAATTATCGTAATGCATCATAACAGCTCACTTTTGATTTTCAATTTTTCAATTTGTTTTTACCATTACAATTCTCATTACTGTAATACTGTGAAAAAAATTACTGTAATAGTTTTTATTTATTTATTTTTGATCATTACAGATTTTTTTAAAATGTATTATTTATTCATGTTCCTTCATAATACATTGATTTTCATTGAAACATTTATCAAATTTAAAAGAATATAGTTACAACAATAGAAAAATAGATTTACATTAACTGAGATTTATGTGTTTATTGTTAGTCCATGACACCTAAGGCATTAAAAGAGATCACTCATAGTTTTTTTTTACTCTATACTATGGAAGTAATCAACTATCTGATTACTGACATTTTTCTAAATATCTTCTTTTGTGTTCAACAGCAGAAAGAAACTCGTACGGGTTTAGAACCAATTGAGGATGAGTACATTACACCTCAAACTAATGTAAACAATTTGAACCTTATGTAAAGTGTTCCTGAAGTGTCATAATCTACAGTTCGATCCTAATGTCAACATGAAATCAGAACGGACCCTATTTACTTTCTTAATACACATTCTCTCCAGTGGTTTGGTTTGTAGCACCTACCTCTCCTGATCATTATGTGTTATTTTATTGTTTATTATCCTGTTGAACTCAGAAATGTGCCAGAATTATGGACGTTTCATGTTGACGTTAATGTGGCAGTAACATTAGCACACTGGGAAATTCACAGTTTCATGGGGAAGGTGAGCAAGAGGAAAAACATCACATGGGTTAAACCAGTGGTAAGGCAGTTGATCAAACACGCGTCACACACACATTCAATTTCCTTCTGAAATTTCTCAACATAGTATGCTGACATACTATGTGTGTGAGTAAAATACACAGATAGACCCAATAACAGCATTGAATGGCTTAAAGAGTCATCCAACGTAAAGAAGAGAATCGTGAACCGCATCCAGAATTCACTTACATCAAGCACACTGGGAAGCAGTCCGATGCAAGTGTAAATCTGAAGACCAGTTAGTAGCCATTATCACAAACTATAGCACTATTAAGCTGGTTCAGATCAACAATCATTCGGTTGAATATAGCAAATATTTTTCTTAAAAAGCTGTATAATTTCTTTACAATGGAACTGAATCAGAGACTTCAACTATTTTTGTTTAGAGCTGCTGTAAACTTTTTGCATCATTGCATAGTTTTCCTGTTATCACTGTAAAGCTGCTTTGAAAGCACTGTATACATAAAAATGCAAACCTAGTTTGTGGAAATTACAGGACTTGGGGGCTTTAAACAATAATAATAATAATAATGATGATAAAATGTATTTCCATCCCTCACAACTTTGTTTTCATTTGCATTCAATTAAATGGCATCTACCCAAACTAATAATCATGGTATATAATATATATATTCAAACAGCTGTCTATCACTGTAATGAAACATAGACAAATTCATTTGCATTTGACATGCAAACTAGCGTTATCCTTGCATCTCTACGCACATGTAGATACTGGCGTCGTACCTGTATTCTCTCAGTGGTGGTGGGCCATAGAGCTCTACACAGCACTTTCTTCACCACATCAGGCAGCAAACTGACTATAATCAGCAGAATTATACTGAGCCACGCAGGACCGCTGGACAACATCTGCATGAACACATAGTACATCCTCTGATAGTTCAGGAAAGGCCTAGAAAAACAGCAGATGAATCACGTCAGATATGACGAATCACAACATATTTGACTTTGTGATCGTAAGTGTACAGAATATTAGGCAGGCCGTACCAAATGATGCCTCCCCACAGGAGGGAGAAGATGACATAGAAAAGCAGTGACCCCCATATGACAAAGTGGTTGATCCACGTCCAGTAATGTGTGTCCAGGGCAAGCTAAAGATAGAGATGGTTAAGTAGACGCCGATCGGCAACAGCTAAGATCGTAACACGTGAGTCGGGTGTATTACCTTTAGCGTGACCGTGAACACGAGGATAGTGAATACAAGTGTCCCAAAGGTCCAGTTTCCAAACATCTAGAACAGAGAAATATTGAAAGAGGCAAAAAGAGATGTAGAAACAGCCGCTTGAATGGGTGGAAATACAGCAGCTCACCCTCGCATCGACATACAAACAAACACGCCATACGCTGCAGTTACGCATGGACAATTTAGCACTCGGTAGAAAAAGACTTGTTTGAATTATCCAGCATATATATATATATATAAATAATTAAAAAACATTTCTTCAGCTTCTTCATAAGGACATTTTGGGTAAATATTTTATTTTTTAAAAATATTTACATTTACAATAGGGCATTTACCATAAATATTTTATAGAGATTTTAATTATGTTTTAAAATGGCACAAGATACTTCAAAAAATAAAAATAAAATGAAAGACGCAACATAACGAAGAGGCGTTTGCCTGAATCTGAAGATGTAGAAAAATAAATATATGTTTTTAATTACCACCAGGTTTAATTCTTTTATGTAGGAATGTATATTATTATGTGTATATATACAATATGTATTAGAAGTAGAAAATATTAGTAGTAAAAATCCACATTTATAAATATTATATATATATTAGGGCTGTGAAATGATTAATCGCGAATAATCGCATCCAAAAATAAAAGTTTGTGTTTACATAATATATGTGTGTGTAGTGTGTATAATTATTTTGTATATATAAATACACACATATGCATGTATATATATACTTCCTATATATATTTATACAAAATTAATATTATACATAAATATTATATTATTAATATTATAAATAAATATTTGATATATTAATAAAACGTTGTTCTTAAATATATACATGCATGTGTGTTTATTTATATACAAAATAATTATACTCACCACACACACATATATTATGTAAACACAAACTTTTATTTTGGATGCGATTAATCGCGATTAATCGTTTCACAGCCCTATATATACACAATATATTAGAAGTATAAAATCTGTAAACCCTATAGAAAGTAATAAATGTACCTAATAAATATATTTATAAATATAGTTTTTAGTATCTGCCTTTAATTTGATGAATAATATGATGAAAACTTCTGTACAGTATACACAAGACACTCATAAAATGTTTCTTTGAAAAAATCTCTCGTGAAAGATTTGCAAGAAATAGTATTATTATATCATTATATTTTAATGGCACTGTAAATTGAAAGCATTTCGGTGTGACCCTATATAGTTTACCAGTGATGTCTGGAACTCTCTGAACTCAATTGAGTTTTATATTTGATCTATAAAAGCTTCATAAATAAATAGTGAGCTTAGATAGTCCCTTAAAATGTTATAATGGATTCAGCATTGGCACTTAGGCTCAATAAACATCTGCTCGGATGCGGTAAGCCGTTTCTGTGTGATTGTTTTTCTCTTTTTGGGAGGATTTGTTCCCTCATTGTTTACAGTGTTGGCAAATGGTTGAATTTCGAGTCGACACAATGGATATCTCTTCTAGAAGCTTCCCCTGTCTGCGGACCGGCCGCGCCGTTGATGACACTATGCAAAACATCGACACTATAATGAAAGCTCTGTATAAAATCACTCGCTGTTAACCTTTACAAAGAAAAACGAATCACAATGGAAATCAACAAGCCATAGCAAAACACGACTGTACGGCACCAAATGGTTTTAGTGAACAATACAATGTTGATGAGTAACCAGTTAATGCAAAAATCAAGTACAAGGACACACAATAGATGTCAACAAGTTTGAAGAAAATGTATTAACTTACCTTGAAGAGCACTCAAAATTAAAAGTAGTGTAAAAAAAAACACTTGTCAAGGGCAAATGATGTTTAAGGATGTTGTGAGGTTTTTCAAAAGAATGAATTTGTTATTTAATCTGTTAATAATTAAATGTAATCATGTTGGAGTATCTGCCACTCTCCACGAATAGGGTAAAAAATAGGGTTTTTATTTCTTTCAACAGTTGGTCAGTGAAACGAAGTTGAAGTTTGCAATTTTTACAACCCCGAAACCAATTTTTTTTTACCAGATTGTAATTAAGTGACCTTTGAAACCATGTTTGGTGCAATTTTGCACATTTTCTATCAAACATAGATATTTGACTAGTATTAACAAACAATGAGCTATATACATCACAATATTTATTAATTGCTGTTAACTTCAGTGTATGTTAAAGGGATAGTTCACTTTGAAACTAATTTTTGGTATGTTTTAGCTTACCTCAAGGGCATCCAAGATGTACAGTAGGTGTCTGTCAGTCATATAATGGAGGTCTATGGTCACCACCTCAAAGAGCATGCACAGAGAAGTCCAAATTAAACATGATTTAATGACTCGTAAACGAAACGAGCGGTTTGTGTGAGAAAACGACGTGAGAAAACCAAAGCGTCCGCGCCCTCAGATCACTTGGACGTGACTGTGGTTACAAGAGGTAAAAACGATATAAATACTGTTCGTTTTCTCACACAAGCCGCTCGTTTTGTGTCTTGGGCCATCAATGTGTACTTACATTTACGAGTCATTAAATCATGTTTAATTTGGACTTCTCTGTGCATGCTCTTTGAGGTGGTGACCATAGACCTCCATTATATGACTGATAGACAAACGGTTTGACCTAAAAATATCAAAATTGAAACTACTGCGGAAACAAAGACACCTACATCTTGGATGCCCTCGAGGTAAGCTAAAACATAGCAAAAATTAATTTCAAAGTGAACTATCCCTTTAAGTTAGCTCAGGTCAATTAAATAAAATGAACAGATACAACTTTGAATTTAAAAAATGTATAAGTAAATTTCGAAATGAACATACTAAGATAATCATTAGTTTGTTCAGTAATATAGTTATCTAATGTTAACAATTGGACAATGCTTTAAATCGAAAAGATATCTGAACCTCCGATGGATTTAAAGATTTAAGAAAAGCTAACGAGACACCTTATTTGTGGAAAAACCTTCTAATTAAAAGCGTCCGAATAGCTTCTCTTCCATTCAACATGTGCCAAATGAAGCGAAATGCTTAATCCACATTTCCTCTCGTTCATTCATTTGCCCTTGCAGTGAGGCATGAGAGGATGGACATGTATCCTACGGGCCGATGAGGACGAGTTTGACAACACCCCTCCGACCCGGGTGTTTGCCAAAAAAAACAACACACACACACACAGTCGCGACGTGACACACGGGGCGGACACAAACTCCTACTCCATCACATGATGATAGACAGAGGGAGATGGAAAGGAGGGGGGCTCGCTACTCTATACCTACGGTGGCTGGTCCTCGGTTCAGGGGTGTCGTACGGTACTGTTTGAAAGCTACGATGGACGTGAACGGTTGGTGTTAGTAGACACTATGTGAGTGGGGGTGGCTTTAGGATGAGGGGAGGGGGCTGAGGAGGGAAACAGTAAACTAAAACTAAAAATAGGATGAGAAACAGATAGGGACAGGCTTACCATCTGTGTGTTGGTGGCCATTAGCTGAGGAAAGGAAGAGAAGCAGAAAAGAAAAGAAAGGCAAAAAGGGGGTAGGTCAAAGGAGGAAAGAGAGAGGGGAGAGATATAGAAAGAGAGATAAAGAAGAAAACGAAAGAAAAGAAGGAGAGGGAGAGGACAGGGAGCAAGAAAGTAAAGCAAAAATTAGGATGTTATAACTTAAAGTAAATCAAACAGGTAAAAAAAAGCAATCCAAAAAGGTTACTATGATTTAACTTAATGGCACAGAGAAAGATGTCTGATCTGACTGATTACCCAGCATGCTTTGTGTCGCATAAATGAATGGAGAAGCACCTGTAATGACTTCAAACATACGCAGAGGAGGACAGACAAAAGTCTCCGAGTTGGATCAAGACATCAGTTAAACTTTACAAGTCCACTTTAACTCGCTCGACAAGCATCGGCCACCCATTCAATCTGTGTGCGACTTTAATTTGACTGAGCGAAAAAAAAAAAAAAACGAACTAAAGGAAAAAAAAAAACAGCTGGTCAAGTCGATTAAACAAAACACACGCACAGAAAAACATCGGAATCATGGTTCAGGCGGTGACCGTGTTACCTGTCCGTTGCTGGTGAAGGTTGTGTTGTCGAAAAGGAAGAAAGCACCAAAGAAGAAGACCATGGCATCAAAAACCCCCAGAAATGTCCAGTAGATGAAGGTGGACCATCTCAGGAGGGAGTTCTTGGCAATATCTCTGTGAAAAGAAATACGTACAAAAAATATATATATATATATATATATTCATTAAAAGATGATCCCATTCCTGGATGACACCAATTCTCCTGTGTCTGTTAAACCTAGAACAAACACTGATATTATCACAGACAAACTGGGATAAAAGTTCATAGTTTGAATATAAACATGGAACACAACCTTTTCCTTCTCGGATAAAAATGTAGTTTTATGCGCATTTTTAGAATTTATGTATCTTAGCATTTCCATCCAGGCTTTTAAAGGAGTTTTCAAAAAACTTTTGCTGATAACTTACTCACCCCCATGTCATCCAAGATGTCATCCTACGTCTTTCTTTCTTCAGTCGAAAAGAAATGAAGGTTTTTGATGAAAACATTCCAGGATTTTTCTCCATATAATGGACTTCACTGGGGACCAAACGGTTCAAGGTCCAAAAGACAGTTTCAGTACAAACTGCAAACTGTTCAAAGGGCTTTAAATGATTCCAGACGATGAATAAGGGTCTTATGTAGCGAAATGATCACTCATTAAAAAAATAACAAAGTTTAAGTTTTATAAACTCAAATGCTCGCCTTGCTCTGTTCTGTGTGACTCTCCTGTTCGAACTCGTTCATTAAAATGAACAAATCTTTTTCCGAGTCAATTCGTTCGTTTCATTTGTTGAATCAACCAAATGACCCGGAAAAAGATTCGTTTTTTTTCACTTTATAAGACCCTTATTCATCGTCTGGAATCGTTTAAAGCCCTTTGAACCGTTTGCAGTTTGCACTGAAACCGTCTTTTGGACCTTGAACCGTTTGGACCCCATTGAGGTCCATTATATGGAGAAAATCCTGGAATGTTTTCATCAAAAACCTTAATTTCTTTTCGACTGAAGAAAGAAAGACATGGACATCTTGGATGACATGGGGGTGAGTAAATTATCAGCAAAAGTTTTTTCAAAAGTGAACTACTCCTTTAATGCGATATCCCAAAATGCACATAAAAATAAGTGTAAGCATCATAAGTAAGCAATTGAGCAATCTAACATTTCATTGCAAGATCGTATGGTTATTTGTGAGCACTCAATGAAATATCAGTTTAATCTCCAACCATACTTAATATACTACCTACTGTATATATACAGAAAAATGACTTTTAGATCAGCTTTTTCTAATGAAAATGGCCTTGATGGCGATAAGTGCTAGTAGCAAACACTGTGTATAATGTGCTGTATATACTGAATAAGCAATGCAGAGGAATAAGAGGAAGAAAATTGCAGTGTCAGGACATTTGTTGATAAAATGTAAAGTGGTTCTTACAGTATGGTTCCCAGTGCTGTGTGTAAATTGAGTTTAGTGCAAGCGTCCACACAAATATGTTTTCCAAAAGCTGATTGAACTGTCCAATTATTGCAGACTTGTATTTGGTCGCAGTGTGTTCATATGATTAAGTGAGAATACCTGGAGGCTCACAATCAGGAAAAAAACATTTTACTGAAGAGGAAAATATAGAGAGCGAGACTTGGCTTCATCAGGCGGTTCATTAGATCCAAAAATGATGCAAGGAAAATAAAAGTTTTCGAAAACATTTTTAATAGTTAAACCATCCGAATGGACCAGTGCTGTGCCTGTTTTTATGTGTTTTTATGCCTGATTAAATATCTTACCACGGAAACATAACAAAACTACTAGATAATATATATACATGTATATATAAATAATATTTCTATAATAAAATAACATGAAATAATGTTAAATAAAAAATAATATTAAATACAATTAATAATTTTGGACTACAGGTCCAACTGGATCAGCCAAAAAAGCATAATAATAATAATAATAATAATAAATATAAATAATAATAATAAAGTCCCATGCCCATGTTTCAAATGTATTTACTATGAATATGTTTTATTTTATGATTTTACTCTTGTCCTAGACCAATGACTTTCAAGCATATAACAATAATATAATTAATAATATAATAATACAACTAAAGACTAATAATAACAAAAAAAAAACAGTGCAAGTTTATCTCTGGGAAAAAGGTGACAACAAATGTCAGGCTATGAAACAATGCGTGCTATGAACCAACAGTCGTGCAAAAAAGAAGGCCAAGGTTGATATAAATAGCCTGCATGTAGACAGGGATTTATCAGTAGGTCTCAGAGAAGGAACCAGAAATAGAAGATTCCTCCCTGTACACGCGATGAGATGCATCACGTTACGTCTCATATATCACACAAAAAAAAAAAACCTCGTTACATTTAAATTTATGAATTTAGCTGACGCTTTTATCCAAAGCGACTTACAATTGCTATATATGTCCGAGGTTGCACTCCTCTGGAGAAACTAGGGGTTAAGTGTCTTGCTCAGGGACACATAGGGTCTCTCACACCAAAGGCATGTGTCTTATCCACTGCATTATAATTATTGCCTGACATTCTGACCACAGGAGTGGGTAATAATGGGGGTTGTTGGTGCAACCAGAATATTCCTGACCTGTACAGAGAGGGGTCCCGTTTGAGGATGTCCATGTTGATGTGCTGCTCCATCAGACTGTAGAGGAGGATGGGTAACGAGGTGAAGCTGATATTGTACAGGGTCAGATATGCCGTGTCGTACAGTGGCTGCAGAGGGAAACATAATTACAGTGTAAGTGCATCACTTCCGGCGCTTGCGCAGACAGAAGCGCCCTCACTCTTAAAGTACTTTGACGTGGCTGTGAACGATATAAATACTGTCCGTTTTCTCACACAAACTGCTCGTTTCGTGTCTTAGGCCATCAATGTGTACTTACATTTACGAGTCATTAAATCATGCTTAATTTGGACTTCTCTGTGCATGCTTTTTGAGGTGGTGACCATAGACCTCCATTATATGACTGAGAGACAAGAACGGTTTGACCTAAAAATATAAAAATTTAAACTACTGTGGAAACAAAGACACCTACAACTTGGATGCCTGTGAGGTAAGCTAAAACATCAAAAAATAATTTCAAAGTAAAGATTACAAGAGGTAAAAACGATATAAATACTGTCCGTTTTCTCACACAAACTGCTCGTTTCGTGTCTTGGGCCATCAATGTGTACTTACATTTACGAGTCATTAAATCATGTTTAATTTGGACTTCTCTGTGCATGCTCTTTGAGGTGGTGACCATAGACCTCCATTATATGACTGACAGACAAGAACGGTTTGACCTAAAAATATCAAAATTGAAAATACTGTGGAAACAAAGACACCTACATCTTGGATGCCTGTGAGATAAGCTAAAACATCAAAAAATAATTTCAAAGTAAAGATTACAAGAGGTAAAAACGATATAAATACTGTTCGTTTTCTCACACAAACCTCTCGTTTCGTGTCTTAGGCCATCAATGTGTACTTACATTTACGAGTCATTAAATCATATTTAATTTGGACTTCTCTGTGCATGCTTTTTGAGGTGGTGACCATAGACCTCCATTATATGACTGAGAGACAAGAACGGTTTGACCTAAAAATATCAAAATTTAAAATACTGTGGAAACAAAGACACCTACATCTTGGATGCCCTTGAGGTAAGCTAAAACATAACAAAAATTAATTTCAAAGTCCCTTTAATTTTAAGAAATGCTACCTATGAAATAACTCTAAGCAAAACAAAAGATGTTTAAAATATCATTCCCACCACAGAACGAGAAGTTCGCATAACTGAAGAAAATATGAAGACAGAATGTTCTTTTTCAGAAGTAGTATAATAGTGACCTTAGCGATATGCGTTTACCTGCTGAGAGAAGCCACAGAAGAACTGATAGAGAAACTGAGGGAAGATGAAGCACACGTTCTGTGGAGAGAAAACAGACCTTCAGTACCTGATGAGCTAAACCCTTTAGGGGGTTTGTGTGCGTCTGTGAAATCAGTTCGCTATAAATAGTGCTGCATTGAGTAGCATTATCAACAAGATTGTTCAGTGGGTTATTCAGAACACCTGGGAAAAAAAGCAGCATCCACATACATTAAGCAACTTTTTCCGTGTTTACAACCGCGGGCAATGTGGTTTGTGTCGTGTCAGCTAGTGATCATCAGCTTTTTTGCTTGTGATTATCTTGTGATTAACACATTTTGTTAGTTTGGGTTCACCTTGTAGAAGAAGTACTGGACCAGCTCAGCGATTCTGATGTAGTAGTAGTGCCCGTGAACCAGGAGCATCTTCTTCAGGTGTTTGAACTTAGTAATTGCATAGTCGCTGTTACGGGCCGCCTGACGCCCTTCTTTACCCATGATCCCTAGAGGCAGAATAACCAGTCAATAGGCATGTAACACACTGCTGAACAGAGGACTGGAGAAGTATTAAAGGAGCAGTTCACTTTTAAAAAAACTTTTGCTGATAATTTACTCACCCCCATGTCATCCAAGATGTCCGTGTCTTTCTTTCTTCAGTCGAAAAGAAATTAAGATTTTTGATGAAAACATTACAGGATTTTTCTCCATATAATGGACTTCAATGGGAACCAAACGGTTCAAGGTCCAAAAGAGCAAACTGCAAATGGTTCAAAGGGCTTTAAACGATTCCAGACGATGAATAAGGGTCTTATCGAGCGAAACGATTGATCATTTCAAAAATAAATAACAAAGTTTAAGTTTTATAAGCACAAATGCTCGCCTTGCTCTATTCCGTGTGACTCCTCTGTTCGAACTCGTTCATCAAAATGAATGAATCTTTTTTCGAGTCTTTTGGTTCATTCAACGAACGAATTGAATGAATTGACTTGAAAAAGGATTTGTTCATTTTGATGAACGAGTTCGAAAAGGGGAGTCACAGAAAGGCGAGCATTTGTGCTTATAAAACTTAAACTTTGTTATTTATTTTTGAAATGAGCGCTCGTTTCACTTGATAAGACCCTTATTCATCGTCTGGAATTGTTTAAAGCCCTTTGAAGCTGCACTGAAACTGTCATTTGGACCCCATTGAAGTCCATTATATGGAGAAAAATCCTGGAATGTTTTCATCAAAAACCTTAATTTCTTTTCGACTGAAGAAAGAAAGACATGGACATCTTGGATGACATGGGGGTGAGTAAATTATCAGCAATAGTTTTTTTAAAAGTGAACTACTCCTTTAACATCTAAAACGACTTCATTTTGCGTGCAAACGTGAAATCACCTATGCCCACGTGAGCTTCCAGAATCATGCTGACATCATTGGCTCCGTCCCCGATGGCCAGCGTAATGGGGTGTTCTTTCGACGCTTTAATCATCTTAACAATCTGAAAGAACAGGTTTATTTCCACAGGTTAAATCTGAGAGATACAATGATTAATCAGGGTTTTTGGCTGACGAGACGGGATAATATTCCACTCATCATCAGCTATCTACCCTTTCTCATATGAAACGACTACAATATCAGATTGGCTTTTAGTACACATTGATTACGCAGGATTTTATTGTGTGCTTGAGGTCAGTAATGGCCTTGTAATACTGTGAGTTCTCTCACTTCTTGGCTTTACAGTCTCCAGCCGCAGAGAGTGACTGACAGGTTTAGCGTGCAGTAAATTAGAAAGAGAAATAGACCACAGTCTCTTTTGATTGCATCGTCTAACTCACAGACTGAGAGATTACAATAAGGGAACAAGGACAACCTTTCTCTGGCAGGTGGCTGTGTATGTGTGTGTGAGTGTGTGTGGGTCAGGATTTATCCTCATTGTTGGGACCAAATGTTCCCAAATTGATACCAAGCCCTAAAATCACCCATAGTCACTGGAACCCATAAGGAAAATGGCTTAATAAACAAACTAAATAACGTTTTAATTAAACTGTCTTTATGAGGGAGTCATTGAGTTATTCACTGAATCGATTTGTTCAAAACAGCGATTCATTCAGGATTTAATAAGTCAGGGGTTCTCAACTCTGGCCCTTGAGGTGCACTTTCCAGCTGAGTTAAAGGGATAGTTCACTTTTAAATACATTTTTGGTATGTTTTAGCTTACCTCAAGGGCATCCAAGATGTAGGTGTCTTTGTTTCCGCAGTATTTTCAATTTTCATATTTTTAGGTCAAACCGTTCATATAATGGAGGTCTATGGTCACCACCTCAAAGAGCATGCACAGAGAAGTTCAAATTAAGCATGATTTAATGACTCGTAAATGTAAGTACACATTGATGGCCTAAGACATGAAACGAGCGGTTTGTGTGAGAAAACGAACAGTATTTATATCGTTTTTATACCTCTTGTAACCTTGGTAACAAGAGGTAAAAACTAAATACTGTTCGTTTTCTCACACAAACCGCTCGTTTTGTGTCTTAGGCTATCAATGTGTACTTACATTTACGAGTCATTAAATCATGTATAATCTGGACTTCTCTGTGCACGCTCTTTGAGGTGGTGACCATAGACCTCCATTATATGACTGACAGACAAGAACGGTTTGACCTAAAAATATAAAAAATTGAAAATACTGCGGAAACAAAGACACCTAGATCTTTCGAAGATTCGCTTTATGTTTGGATGGAAACCCATCTACTGAATCATTCGCTAAACCGATTTATTAAAAAACACGGATTCAGTAAGGAACGGCACTACTGTTTGTTGCTTGGAAACGTAATTCTTTGCATGGACCCGCTTTCATCTCTGAAGCAAAAATAGATAAAGTAACTGCCAATATGTATTGTGAACTGCTGTTCATGAATCTATTCTTACAATAGAAAGACAGAAAAACATTTATTACAGAAATATTAGTCATTTTTGAAACTACAAAATGGAGACATATGACAAAGAGTTTCCTGTGATCCTTTACCTAAATTATACTGTGACAGGAAATGATGTTATAAAATGATCTCATACACTACCATTTAAACATGTAGGGTCAGCAAGATTTTGGTTTCTTTGAAATAAATTAATACTTTTCAGCAAGCACGCATTAAATTGATCAAAAGTGACAGTAAAGACATTTATATTGTTGCAAAAGTTTTCCATTTCAAATACATGCTGAACTGTTTTCAACATCGATTATAATAAGAAATGTTTCTTGAGCAGCAAATCGGCATTTTAGAATGATTTCTGAAGGATCATGTGACACTGAAGACTGAAAATTCAGCTTTGCATCACAGGAATAAATTACATTTTAAAATACATTAAATTGTAATAATACTTTATAATATTAGTGTTTTTACTGTATGTTTGATCAAATAAATGCAGGTGCCTTGGTGAGAGTTGGCAAACTTTCGAACAGGAGTGTGTGAAGTGCCGCATTACCTGTGCTTTCTGTAAGGGTGCCATGCGGCAGCAGAGAACAGCACTGCAGTTCCTGCAGATTTCCAGGAATATTTCCTTGTAGTTCCCTCCGCTGCTGTTTCCTTCCTGTGTTGGCTTCAGTACAGCTGACAGTGTTGCCCCATCGATTATCAGACCATAGTCTTGGCAATCACCCGAGAGCCTGTGTGGACGAAACAAATATTACGTGTGAAGGTGTCTGTGTGGGAACATGAGGGCATGTACACATTTCCACTGTACCCACCCTGAGAAAGTGTCCCTGGTCATGCTGCCATGCTGTCTCAGGACGGTCCTGCTCAGGTCGAACAGGACGTCGTGGAGACTCTGCTCTTCTGTCCGCTTGGTTGTCAGTTCCAGGATCTGTGTATTGCGATGGAACAACTTGCTAGCATAGCATGTGGCTGCGGCCGTCTCCATTTTGTCCCCTGTGAGAACCCAAACCTTTATACCAGCCTTGTGCAGGGACTCGATGGTGTCGGCCGCTTTATCCTGCAGCCTGAAACATAGAATAATAACTTTTTTTAAGCATTTCATGTACATGATTAGCCTATATAAACAAACCTTCGCTAGCTCTGCCTTAACTCTTTCCCCGCCAAACACGGAATTTTCCGTGTTTAATGAAAAAACGCATCTGCGCCAAACACGGAATTTTCCGGGTATCCGTGTTTTAGGTGGTATACGGTAAGGAAGACCCGCGCGCATGTCCTGAATGATTGCGCAACTCTTTGATCAGAGAAACAGATCGCAATCGTCTCAAACAGTGGAGTAGTGAGAATGTATCAGACAGACAATGCAGAGGTATATGGCTGAAGTACTGGAGGTTAATGGACTCGGAGTCCGATCACTCTTTATTTGATAATTCTGAATCTGATCGGGACGAAGTAGTCAGTGAGAGAGATGCACATGTTCATGCTAGCCATGGACGTGCCGCAGATAGATCGTATAATATTATGACACTACACTCACCGGCCACTTTATTAGGTACCCCATGCTAGTAACGGGTTGGACCCCCTTTTGCCTTCAGAACTGCCTCAATTCTTCGTGGCATAGATTCAACAAGGTGCTGGAAGCATTCCTCAGGGAGTTTGGTCCATATTGACATGATGGCATCACACAGTTGCCGCAGATTTGTCGGCTGCACATCCATGATGCGAATCTCCCGTTCCACCACATCCCAAAGATGCTCTATTGGATTGAGATCTGGTGACTGTGGGGGCCATTTGAGTACAGCGAACTCATTGTCATGTTCAAGAAACCAGTCTGAGATGATTCCAGCTTTAAGACATGGCGCATTATCCTGCTGAAAGTAGCCATCAGAAGTTGGGTACATTGTGGTCATAAAGGGATGGACATGGTCAGCAACAATACTCAGGTAGGCTGTGGCGTTGCAACGATGCTCAATTGGTACCAAGGGGCCCAAAGAGTGCCAAGAAAATATTCCCCACACCATGACACCACCACCACCAGCCTGAACCGTTGATACAAGGCAGGATGGATCCATGCTTTCATGTTGTAGACGCCAAATTCTGACCCTACCATCCAAATGTCGCAGCAGAAATCGAGACTCATCAGACCAGGCAACGTTTTTCCAATCTTCTATTGTCCAATTTCGATGAGCTTGTGCAAATTGTAGCCTCAGTTTCCTGTTCTTAGCTGAAAGGAGTGGCACCCGGTGTGGTCTTCTGCTGCTGTAGCCCATCTGCCTCAAAGTTCGACGTACTGTGCGTTCAGAGATGCTCTTCTGCCCACCTTGGTTGTAACGGGTGGTTATTTGAGTCACTGTTGCCCTTCTATCAGCTCGAACCAGTCTGGCCATTCTCCTCTGACCTCTGGCATCAACAAGGCATTTCCGCCCACAGAACTGCCGCTCACTGGATGTTTTTTCTTTTTCGGACCATTCTCTGTAAACCCTAGAGATGGTTGTGCTTGAAAATCCCAGTAGATTAGCAGTTTCTGAAATACTCAGACCAGCCCTTCTGGCACCATCAATCATGCCACGTTCAAAGTCACTCAAATCACCTTTCTTTCCCATACTGATGCTCGGTTTGAACTGCAGGAGATTGTCTTGACCATGTCTACATGCCTAAATGCACTGAGTTGCCGCCATGTGATTGGCTGCTTAGAAATTAAGTGTTAACGAGCAGTTGGACAGGTGTACCTAATAAAGTGGCCGGTGAGTGTATAGTATGTGTGTGTGCAGGCATTTATGTGTGGCTGTCTAAATATGAAGGTGTAATTAAGTTGGCTTGAGAAAGCCAACTTACTGAAATCCTATTTAAACTTATTATTATTCTTCTTCTTTTTCTTACCCAAAATTTTCTGACTGCTACTCCTCCTAGAGCTTTAACTCTACAAACTCCAAACTCGGGTCAGACCTTCAGACTGTTCTGACTCGAGTTGCTATATCTTTTTAGACTGATTCGACTTTCAGATTTCTTAAAAATTAATATTAAAAATCATAAAAATCCCATTGACTTTCATTGCAGCATGGTCAAATTGAGCCAAGACTACGGTGGCCCAATAGCGTACAACAAAAACTCAAATCTAAATTCCCTGAAGCCCTAGACTCAATTAAACTACCATTCTATATGAACTAATGAACTTATCTATCTATCTATCTATCTATCTATCTATCTATCTATCTATCTATCTATCTATCTATCTATCTATCTATCTATCTATCTAACTATCTATCTATCTATCTATCTATCTATCTATCTATCTATCCTTCTACCTAATCTTTCTTTCTAACTAATCTATCCATCTTTCTTTCTAACAAATCTATCCATCTTTCTTTCTAACAAATCTATCCATATTTCTTTCTACCTAACTAATCTATCCATCTTTCTTTCTACCTAATCTATCCATCTTTCTTTCTAACAAATCTATCCATCTTTCTTTCTACCTAATCTATCCATCTTTCTTTCTACCTAACTAATCTATCCATCTTTCTTTCTAACAAATCTATCCATCTTTCTTTCTAACTAATCTATCCATCTTTCTTTCTAACTAATCTATCCATCTTTCTTTCTAACTAACTAATCTATCCATCTTTCTTTCTAACTAACTAATCTATCCATCTTTCTTTCTAACAAATCTATCCATCTTTCTTTTTAACTAATCTATCCATCTTTCTTTCTAACAAATCTATCAATCTTTCGTTCTAACTAATCTATCCTTCTTTCTTTCTAACTAATCTATCCATCTTTCTTTCTAACTAATCTATCCATCTTTCTTTCTAACTAATCTATCCATCTTTCTTTCTAACTAATCTATCGTTTTTTCTTTCTACCTAACTAATCTATCGTTCTTTCTTTCTAACAAATCTATCCATCTTTCTTTCTAACAAATCTATCCATCTTTCTTTCTACCTAACTAATCTATCCATCTTTCTTTCTACCTAACTAATCTATCCATCTTTCTTTCTAACAAATCTATCCATCTTTCTTTCTAACAAATCTATCCATCTTTCTTTCTAACAAATCTATCCATCTTTCTTTCTAACTAATCTATCCATCTTTCTTTCTTACAAATCTATCCATCTTTCTTTCTAACAAATCTATCCATCTTTCTTTCTAACTAATCTATCCATCTTTCTTTCTAAATAATCTATCATTCTTTCTTTCTAACTAATCTATCCATCTTTCTTTCTAACAAATCTATCCATCTTTCTTTCTAACAAATCTTTCCATCTTTCTTTCTAACAAATCTATCCAACTTTCTTTCTAACTAATCTATCCATCTTTCTTTCTAACAATTCATTCTTTCTTTCTTTCTTTCTTTCTAACAATTCCATCTTTCTTTCTAGCTAATCTATGCATCTTTCTTTCTAACAATTCTTTCTTTCTCTTTCTTTCTTTCTTTCTTTCTTTCATTCTTTCTTTCTTTCTTTCTTTCTTTCTTTCTTTCTTTCTTTCTTTCTTTCTTGATGCTAATAATATGCTAATCATGCTAGCTTTATGCTAATCATGTTAGCTTCTTGATAAAAACATGCTAGCATGATGCTAGCAACATGCTAATCATGCTATTATGATGCTAGCTACATGCTAATCATGTTAGCTTCTTGCTAAAAACATGCTAGCATGATGCTAGTTACATGCTAATCATGTTAGCTTCTTGCTAAAAACATGCTAGCATGATGCTAGCTACATGCTAATCATGCTAGCATGATGCTAGCTACATGCTAGTCATGCTAGCTTCTTGCTAAAAACATGCTAGCATGATGCTAGCAACATGCTAATCATGCTAGCATGATGCTAGCTACATGCTAATCATGCTCGCATGATGCTAGCTACATGCTAATCATGTTAGCTTCTTGCTAAAAACATGCTAGCATGATGCTAGCAACATGCTAATAATGCTAGCATGATGCTAGCTACATGCTAATCATGCTAACTTCTTGCTAAAAACATGCTAGCATGATGCTAGCTACATGTTAATCATGCTAGCATGATGCTAGCTACATGCTAATCATGCTAGCATGATGCTAGCTACATGCTAATCATGTTAGCTTCTTGCTAAAAACATGCTAGCATGATGCTAGCTACATGCTAATCATGCTAGCATGATGCTAGCTACATGCTAGTCATGCTAGCTTCTTGCTAAAAACATGCTAGCATGATGCTAGCAACATGCTAATCATGCTAGCATGATGCTAGCTAAATGCTAATCATGCTAGCTTCTTGCTAGCAACATGCTAATCATGTTAACATGATGCTAGCTACATGCTAATCATGCTAGCTTCTTGCTAAAAACATGCTAGCATGATGCTAGCAACATTCTAATCATGCTAGCATGATGCTAGCTACATGCTAATCATGTTAGCTTCTTGCTAAAAACATGCTAGCATGATGCTAGTAACATGCTAATCATGCTAGCATGATGCTAGCTACATGCTAATCATGCTAGCTTCTTGCTAGCAACATGTTAATCATGTTAGCATGATGCTAGCTACATGCTAATCATGCTAGCTTCTTGCTAAAAACATGCTAGCATGATGCTAGCAACATGCTAATCATGCTAGCATGATGCTAGCTACATGTTAGTCATGCTAACTTCTTGCTAAAAACATGCTAGCATGATACTAGCAACATGCTAATCATGCTATTATGATGCTAGCTACATGCTAATAATGCTAGCTTCTTGCTAAAAAATGCTAGCATGATGCTAGCAACATGCTAATCATGTTAGCATGATGCTAGCTACATGCTAGTCATGTTAGCTTCTTGTTAAAAATATGCTAGCATGATGCTAGCAACATGCTAATCATGCTATTATGATGCTAGCAACATGCTAATCACGTTAACAACATGCTAATCATTTTAACTACATGCTAATCATATTAGCATCAAGCTAGCTACATGCTAATCATGTTAGCTTCTTGCCAATAACATCTATCTATCTAGCTATCTATCTATCTATCTATCTTTCTAACTAATCTATCTTTCTAACTAATCTATCCATCTTTCTTTCTTTCTTTCTTTCTTTCTTTCTTTC